TTTGAAGTGTCTTTCCTTTGAAGGATTTGGGTTTTTTAAAAAATTTACTTTAGTAACTATCCTAATTGTACCCAACAGTTTTATTTCTAGGCATATACTTCTTTTTTTAAAATGTGGTATGTGGTATTGAACTCTGAGCTGTGCCCCCTATTCACACTGAGCTATACCCCCAGCCCATTTTTAATTTTTAATTTTAAGACAAGGTTTCACTGAGTTACTAGGTTGCCCAGGCTGGGCTCAAACTTTCATTGTACCTGCCTCAGGCTCCCAGAGTGCTGGGATTACTGGCACACACTTCTCTACCCAGCTGGAGATTCTCCATATATATGGATTGGCCCATTGATTTCATTAGTGTTATCTATCCTGTCCGTGTGCTTTTCTGTGTCCTAATGCTCCCATGCCCATGCCTTTCAGTACTCATACTTGAGTGATAGGGTTTGTGTCCCTGGAGATGATATTTCAGGTATTTTTATTTCTTCACTGTCAATGAGATATGTGAATAATAATACATTTGACACATATAAGGCAAAGTGTGCATGCTGTATTTTGTGCCCCCAATATACTATATGGTGAATTTTTTTTTTTCCAGGATCAAACTCAGGACCTTGTACCTGTGAGGCAGGCGTGGTGCCACTGAGCTAAATTCCCAGCCCCATTAATCTTTTTTTATATGTATCATTTATTTCAAATCAAGAAATCTAATTAAAGAATCATTTGTTGACAGGCATCTGTCCATCTTATCATAAGCTTTTTTATCTGGTACTGTAATTGAACCCAGGGCCTTAGGTTTGAGCTACATCCCAAGCCCTTTTTTTTTTTTGGTTCCGAGGATCCACCTTGGGTCCTTGCACTTGTGCAGCAGGTGGTGAAACCACTGAGCTAAATCCCAAGCCCCTCCCCACCCCTTTTTTATTTTTTATTTTGAAGTAGTGTTTTGCTAAGTTGCTGAGGCTAGGCTTGAACTTGTGACCCTCCTGCCTCAGCCTCCCAGAGTGCCAAGATTACAGGCATGTTCCACCATGCCTGGCTATGCAAATTGTGGAGATAATGTTTCTGAACATATTTGGCTTAGGGAAATGTAATTTTAGGATTGCTAACAGAAATAAAGACTAATGACATTTAAATATGTTATAGAATACATTTCAGAGTAGGCTTAGAATCTATTTTAAGTGACCATACACAGCAAAATATTTATTACATCATTAATACAGTAGGCATGAATAATGAAATTGGCTCTGATGCTGGGGTTTGCTCATGAGCTTACTTTTTTCTAACTTTGAATGCTTGCTTCATCAACACTAGGAAATGAATTCTTCATTAGCCGTGTTTATAGAGTGTAAGGAAGGAAGTCTCTCACCAAGTCAATCTGAAAAAATATATTTGTCTTATTTGTGCGCAGTGGTTAAAAAGCAAGCTACCTGTAGATGAAAGAAACTGTTATCTTTCACTTTAACTTGTTTGCTTATTGTTTCAATGCTTTTTGTTTTTCAGACCTCTGTCTTGGAATTTCCTCCTTGAGTCAAATATAGCTAGGCCATTGCTTATTGCTGTCAATAAATTTTCATAGAAATCTTGTTATTGGTGAATTGTTAAGCACCTTTGGTATCTAATAAACCATAAATGTGACTGGTACTATATCATAAAACTAAATGTGCAGTTATAGCCTTTTGTAATGACTTAAACTTTAGGGCAGTAAGCTTGAATCTGAGGTTGTGTTATAAACTTTAGAGTTAAATGAAAACCACAGGGATCCCTCACCAAGGGATCTTTCATTTTCTGTATGAAGAAACCAGCCCAAAGCTGCCAAGCTAACCAACAAACTGCCTGTGATTTCAGACAGTTAACTGCAGAGCCAAGACCAAAACTTCTCTTTTCTGATTCCCAATGGAAAATACTTCTTCTCATAATTCCTTAAAAGACATGAAATTCTAAACAAGTTACATAAACCAGCAACTCCAATGTACTAGTAAAATCATAAAATACAAATTTATTATAAATCTGATCTAAAATAAATACACTGGCAAAAATGAATATGATTTAACTACTGATTGAATTTCTTCTGCATTCTGAAAAAGACTCTTTACTACTGATTCAGGTGACTCAGATCATTTTTAAACCATAGAGGAAATTGTAATGTATTGGCTTTTCATTCACTAAGGTAAGCATGAATTTTTTCCTATCTTATCCTTATTATTTTGATTAGAATATCTTAAAATAGCTATTATTACAGCTAAGTAATTGAGGTGTTTTTTGTTTTGTTTTGTTTTATTTGTACCAGGGACTGAATTCAGGACCTTGCACTTGCGAGGCCGGTGCAGTGCCACTGAGCTAAATCCCCAGCAATAATTGAGTTTCTAAGAAATTTTAGTTGAAAGGATTAAGAACTTACCTATCCAAAGTATCTTCTGTAAATCAACAACAACCAAGTAACTGGAGAATTTATTTAAAATGCAGAATCTGACTGGGGATGTAGTCAGTGGTAGATCGCTTACCTAGCACGTGTGAGGCCCTGGGCTCCATCTCCAACACTGATTAAAAACAACAACAACCACCAAAAAAACCCCATAGTATCTCCTTCCTTAGACTGAGACCTCCTGAATCACAATATATGTATATATTAACAAATCCTGGGTGATTCCTACACACATTGCAGTTTGAGAATCACTTATTTAGATAATTAGTAATCTGAAAACATGACCTATTTATTGTCATTTCCTTGTCTTTTCTTTACTTTTCTTTGCCTCTCCCCACAACAATAACAATAAAACCAGCCTGGGGCTGGAGGTTATAGTTCATGGTAGAGCGCTGGCCAGTTTGTGCATGGCCCTGGGTTGGCTTCTCAGCCCTGCAAAAACAAACAAAAAATACATCAGTCTGCTTTCACAGGCCAAAAGAAGGTTAGGTCAAAAGTGTAACAGGGAGGCAAGGAAACGCATCTCTTCATTCTGGGATGGCACAGAGGACCCACTGGCTAATGATTTATCTTTGAAATGTTGTTTAGCATCTAGCAGAACTGTATTCTTTTCCTCCTCTAAGTCCCCTTGAATCATTCACATTGGTCCCACAACCAAGATTGTGTAACTTTACTGAGACATGGAGTACAGGAGTTAATTATACAGTGTTGCATTTACAGAGGTTGAGCCACAAAACATAGAAGAGGGGGACTGCCTGTTCCGGTAAGGATGGAGAGCGGCACAGGATTTTTTGTTGGTTATATGCCATGAGTAACAGGCAGCATGAGGCAGAGGAGAAACAGCCCTGATGAAAAGCAAAGCCAAACACTAAATCCAGGCCTCCATATACAAAGATGACTGCAGTGAATTTTCTTTCTAGTGAGTAATGAATTGAAAGACAGAGTTGTGTAGTCATTCAGAGTTTAGGGTCTGAATACAAACGGTCTTGTTTCAAATCCCAGCTCATGTATTTCTTGGCTGTGTGGCTATCAACTAGTTATCAGCCTCTTACTCTCATTTGAAAACAGTTGTGCCCACCTCGCAGGGCAATTATAAATAGGAAATGAGAAAATCTATGTAAAAAGTATTTAGCACAGTGTCTGAAACATTAAGTATTTGGTAACTGTTAGATTTTTACATATTACTTATTTTATGATTCTTCAAATCAACTTCCTTTTGCACACAAGTATAATTTTATGTTTTCCGTGTCTGTGGCCACAACAAAGACCTGCAACTTCAACTAAGCAAATGCTGTGGGCTAAAGCATGTTCACTTCACTGATCACCTCTGGGCAGTGAGCACCCTAGTGGGTGCATTGGTGGTGGTGGTGGTAGAGAGCATGAGGAAAGAGAAAGCACACTCTCACGTAGCCCTTTCAGGTGCTTTGACTCTGGATATGGAGATGAGAGGCATACTTAACACTGGAGAAAAGCCTCAGAACTAATTGCAGAGCAACATTTTCATGTGTTGAAAATTATACAGTGTACATGAGGCTGTTCCGAGTGACTGAAAGGCAACCATCAATATTGATCATTAACAGTGTTGATTTTCCTCACTTGCCAGAAAAAGGACAGAACTGTTAGGTAAAACTATAGTTTATGAAACTATGATTGATTCATAAATTTCTTGATATGCTCAGTACTTAACCTCTTTTAAGCATAGCAACTTTTGAATCCTAATTTTGAAGCTGACCAAGCACCAGGGACCAGAATGAGAGAAAGTAATGATTTCATACCCTGACAGTAGCTGCTGGCCTCAACCCTTGGCTGTGGTTATGTGAAAGCAGACCACAGGCATGCATGGCTCACCCCAGTAGTGTTGGATAATTTTATCACTCTATCCTGACCACTTTTTCATTCTTTCAAAAGAATTCAGTCTTTGGAGACTATGGGGAAGTGGAGGGAGTTTATAAATGCTTAATAAAAAGGCTGTAAATCAACTGTTAAGATGAGCCATTATAGAACTTGAGATAGTTTCCTTCTTCAGGAACTTAAGAAGAAAGGGGGGCTTAGAAGAAGTGGTTTAGAAATAACCATGTAGAAAATAATATTGGTGCTTTGTTCTCTAATCCTGAGCTCCCTGCTGCCCTCCACTTATTTCAAACAGAGTTTTAGAAAGATTTTTCTGTCTGTGGGCCTGGGGGTAGGTGAATTTGGGCGGAGGAGAGCAAGAAATTAGTGGAATAGGTGATAGGAAGGTGGGCAACAACAATTGCATTAACACTTTGAGAAACTGAAAAGACCAGGTCTGTGATAGTAGGGTCACAGGAAAGAGATGGTTTTCCAAGGTCAGCTGTGAAACTGTCTGCAATGGATGTCTTTAAAAAGGAGAAAAGGCCACTGTCACAAATAAGCAGCCAGGATCATCTCTGTAAACAGAAACAAGTGTAAATGAGCATCCAGCAACAGAAGGTTAAACGTCATGTTGTGTCCACTGAGGCCCTGGCTAAGCCTTGCAGCCTGTGATTCCTTTGGATATGTGGGGCACACCTGTGATCCTGCACCTAACCTGCATCTAACTTTCTTCCTCTTTTCTTCTTTTCTCCAGCACTCATGTATCCCAAGTCAGCAATGTTTCCACAACTGGAGAGTAAGTTATCTGGGTTGGGTTGGGCTTTTATGTTTTGAGGTTTTTTTAAAAATTCCCTTTCTGGTTTATTAAGTAGAAAAAGAAGTAGTTCTAATGTTCTACAGTACTGGAAGACTAAGATAATGAGCAGCCAGTGATTTGTAAGCTGTCTGTGTACAGAGGATAGAGGATAGTACTAAAGAAGAAGTGTTCTGCTTGAGCTTGTGGGTGTGAGATTAGAGGCAACTCTAACATTTAAAACTCCCAGATTTTTGTTTACTTCATTAAAAATAATGCCAGGGCCAGTTAATGTTTGGAAAGCAGTCCATGTGCTCTGGGAGGCACCTTGCAATGGAGAATGTAATTCAGGTATCAACTGTGTCTTTATTTTCCACTTCTTCATCTTATTGAGTCCATGTTTATTGAGTACCTGCAGTGTACAGAGCGCAGTGTTAGATGTGTGACATCAGATGCACATCCTGAGCTCTACTCTCACTGATCCTGCCCAGGGATGCAGGAAAGAAAGCAAATTAGTGATGGCAGTGAGTCCGTTCTCCACAGGGCAGGGCAGTGCTGTGTTAGTTATGTCCAATGCATCTTTCTCACTTGCACTTAGAATCCAAACTCCCTTTTCTGCCCTTGCCTGTCTCTCTGCCTGCACTGCTCAGTGCATGTCAGCCCCCTGACCTTCTCTTGATGGACTAAACCAGCTTATTTCTGCCTCAAAGCCTTGACTGTTTCTTAGCCTTCCCAGTTCTTCTTGCCATTCACTTTCTGTTCAAATATCATTTTGGGGGGCACTATCCCTGACTCTCCCCTCACTCCCCAAAACTGTCCTAGGTTTTAGAGCATGTCCCATTGTTGGGCATTCCATTTCTATAGCTGCTTATTATCTGTCTTGCCCTATAAGAATGCAAGTCCTGGGCCGGGGATTTAGCTCAGTGGTTCTGGCGCATGCCTCGAAAGCGCAAGGTCCCGAGTTCGATCCCCGGTACTAAAGAAAAAAAAGAACACAAGTCCTATAAACACAGGAGCGTGACGTTCGTGTTAGTGTGGTCTCCCTCACACAAGAAAAGTGTCTGACATATGTTAGGTGCTAACTGAATGTTTGTCAAGTGACTGAATGAATGGTTCCTGGCCCCAGGACCTTTCCATCACTCTAGTTCTCTTCCTCTCTTTCTGGGTCAGGTGTGGACCTTTGGGGGGCATCTTCCCTGGGCAGGGGCTGGGGTGGGCAGTGAGGAGGGTGTTATGGTAGGAGGAAGAGAAGGATTAGAAGAAGCACTGATGGAAATTAATGTGGACCTAGAAGAATGGATTTTTTCTTTCTTGTTGGGTGGGGAAGCAAGCGGAGGGCAGGATTGACTTCCCTTAGCTTTGCCAATTTTGAAAGGATTCCAGAACTGTACAAAGATGAGTACATTCCTTTTTTATTTCTTAATAACCTTTCTACCTTTTGTGTCTTACATAGCTTGGGAAACTGTAAGTTAGTCTATGTGCACATATTAATTTACACAGTCCATGGTACCACTATCAGGTAATCTTGGAATACTTGGGACACAGATTAAAAAATAAAACAAAATTTCTTTTTTTGGTGGGAGGGCAGTGAGACAAGGTCTCACTATGTGGTTCAGGCTGGTCTTAAACTCACTACATAGCCCAGACTGGCCTCAAATTGACAGCAGTCCTCCTGCTTCAGTTTTCCAAGTGCTGGGATTACAGGCATGTGCCACCACTGACAAAAATAAAATTTCTAGTGCCCAAGTTAATAAAACTATTCTTGTTCATTATCTTAAAATGTTTTAGTAAAATTTGAAATAACTACTAATCTGTTGGAAATCCTTAAGTTCTCAAATCCTGTCTTAGAGAACAGTACTTCCCAGTCTAAGCATTTAAAAAATATGTGTGTGGTTATTATTCAAGTGAAGAAAAACATGCTTTGAGAGGTGTAAGAATCTTCAATGGTAGCTTTTTTAGAATTAAGTACCATGTTGATAAGGAATGTTTGGACACATAGGAAGATTCTGCAGCTTTTAAAGTACCATTTGTATCTTATCCTGTGTTCTTTTCAGCTCTTTGCATTAAACTGTTTACCTCAGGTTGAACAAAGTAAATCTATCCTTCCAACTGAAATATATTTTGGGGTTATTTACTACAGCATCAGTTTTGTACATCACAACTTACTCAATTAGAGGTTAAGAAAGATTATGTTTTGTTGTTATGAGATGTAATTGTTCTGACAAGCTTTGGGGGCAGGGGTTCCAAGTAGCATTATTCCCTATATAATTGTATTTAATGGGATTCTAAATATTTAATAAATATCCTAAAATTATTTGTGCCAGTTTGCTTTGTAAATCATGTCAGCTTCCTCTGCAGAACTTTTGTGGAATCTGGAGGGAGCTTGCCTTTGTAAGAATATGTTTGCTATTATTCTAAGAGGAAGAAATCTTCCTCCTTCTGCCTTATATGAAAGGACCCTAATTTCTTTTTTTTTTTTTTTGTACTGGGGATCGAACTCTCGACCTTATGCTTGCAAGGCAGGCGGCAGCACCACTGAGCTAAATCCCTGGGCCAGGACAATTTCTTGACAATTTCATAATTGCTGCTAAATGTACCATGAGCATTTCAGTAATTCTAGATTCACAAAGATGAGAAGCATAGTTCTCAAATTGTTCTCAAATTTGTTCAAGTTAGTTTTATTTTTAATGCAGAATGCAAATATCTTTAGGTTCACACATCATACTCTGTGTTTGCTTATAGGAAACAGGTATTTCTAACATTTGGGCCTATGTTTTTGAAGGAAATCATTGATAAACTTGATTGCTCAAGTGACTCTTTGTTTTGTTTTTGGTTTGTAACCAGACTCTTAGAAAGAACCATCCGGACAGCTGTAGAACAGCATCTTTTTGATGTTAACAGTTCTGGAGGACAAAGCTCAGAAGATTCCGAGTCGGGAACTGCCTCATCATCTTCTACCACCTCTGCCAGGCAGCGCCGCCGCCAGTGCAAGGACCAGGGTGAGGCTGGACGTGGCAGAGAGCAGTAAGTTGCCATGGTGATTCTTGCCTGGGTTTTCTCTGCTCTCCTAAAAATACACAGCTAAATTCCTCACTGTGTTGTAGTAACATCCCCTACTCCTCTCACTTTTCAGTATTTAGGTTAAAACTTTAAAAGTTTACATTCTGACCATTCAAAACTTGGCTGACATTTAGAGACTCATAGGTGACTGGTAGGTACCTCAGTTTCATTGCACTGCTGGGTGTGCTGTGGAGGCCAGCTTCCTCATCACTGTCTTGAAGTGGAGATCGTGAGCCAGGGCTATGGGAGGCAGGTTTTTCCTTGCTAGTTAGCGTAAATTGACTGCTAAACTAGTTTATTAGTCAGCAGATTTCCCCATTATATTGACTTGACTAAATACTAGAACATCCCTCTAACACTGTGACACTTGGTTATGTTTTAGTACAAGAAAGTTTGCACTTAAGTCTAACCAAAGAAGGAAAAGCTTAAGTTCTTTATTATTTTAATGACTAACTGTAAGGCATTCCCTTTCTTGCTCTGTCTTTCCCCCTTTCTCTCTCTCTCTCTCTCTCTCTCTCTCTCTCTCTCTCTGTCTCTCTCTCTCTCTCTCTCACCCCTTACAAACAAGCTTTCCACCTCCAGCTACTTTAAGGCATTCTCACATCATGAATTTCAAGAATAATCTTACAAGTAGTTTTATTCTCCCTGAAAACATTTAACAAAATGCCAGTGAACAACTACCCTTCATATTAATTATGATTTCAGTTGCCAATGAAAATAATTTTATATAGATAACTGACTACATTCACACATTTTCCTCAAGAGTTCCAAGCTTTTTTTATTCATGATAGTTTTTTGCCTCTAATAGTTATTGTTTTGAACTCCTTATTAAATATCAAAGGCTAAACAAAACCCTAGTCCTCCTCATTCTTTTTCACCTAGACTCGAAGTCTATTACCAAAATCTTTATTTAAAAAAATTCCTCCCGAGTTCGATCCCTGGTACCAAAAAAAAAAAAAATGCCTTTTTGCTTAAAGAAAAACATAAAAAGTGTAAGTAAATTCTATAACGCATATCATTGAGATTTTTAAGGGCTATCTTAACAAATAAAATCTTAGAAATAAAGCAGTGTCAGTGGTATAGCTCATGACTTTACAAGTGACCTGTGCAGTACTTTTTAAAAAATTGTCTTGGAGCTGGTCAATAGTAGTTATAATATTCCATTTAGAAAATAGAAAATCTACAATACAGGAAACACTTAAAATGAAAATTTGGTACTGCCTGGGGTTTTGGAAAGCATTTAGGATGATAGTTTATGTTCTGCCTATATCTTATTATACAGCAAGTAGAAATTATTCACTTTACTTTGTTCTTACCCTCTGCCTCATTTTTTTGCTACACAGTATGAGACTATACTTTGCATTTTTAAATACCCCCTTCCATTACAACATTCTGCTTGCCACCCTCTTTGTTTGGACAGAGGGTGAACAGGTGGAGTGGGGAGTGGTACTGTGCATGATAGCAAGTACCCAGAATGGTGGTTGGAGTGTCAAGTGTGGGTCATTGGTGGCAGCAGGTGGTGGACAGCCAGAGCTAAGATAAACAGGGCCAGACAGGGCTGAGAAATACAAACATAGGCTCTCCTCTCCTGCAGGATGTGAATATAGCATTCCTCAAGTGTGAGGAAGTTTCTTTCATAAGTCATCTTGATTGTATTTAAGTAGCAACATGAGGGGAATAGAAAGAGGAGGAGAATGATAGAGACTGACCACCCGGGGACAGTTACAGACTGTCCCTGTGGACCTCTGGCCTTGCCCTTGAATTAGGTGTTTCATCACTACTCATCCTGGTTACTCTAAATAAGAGGACCTTGGGGTACAAGCCCTTCAGTAGTGTTGAGTTCCTTTATGCTCCTGTATGCAGCCGAAGTGACTTACACACAGTCTTGCCACATCCTTTTTCTTGGGTGTGAGGTCTCGAGTTCAGAAGTCCCTTGCACGAGCTCTTTGTGTGCCACCCCTGTTTGTGAGTCACAGCCCACCCAGTCTGACACGCTGGGTCACAGTCGTGTCTGGATCGTCCTTTAGCTCCCAGCCAATGGTGAACAGCTTCTCTCTGCTCCAGGTCTTTGGGGAGCAAGGCCCTTATCTCTCCAGGCCCAGAGCTGCCACTTCTGGTGAGCAGCTTTGGCCTAGGTCAGCCATCTTTTTCCCTCCAGCAGGGTGCTACGCACTCTCTACCTCTTACTGGCCTTCCCTGACATGTTTCTCTCCAGCTCTGTTCTTTGCCTTTCACTCACCTCCCTTTAACATGTTCTAGAACCTCCAGGCTGATCTCAGATTCCTCTTTTAACCTTCTTCCTTTCAGTGACTTTGAAATGCCACCTAGAAGGCCCTTTGCGGTATCCCCAGGAGTCATTAACGCAAGATAAATTCTGAGACAGTCAGCCATCATTATTATAGTTTATAGCAAGTGAGCTCTGCATAGTAAATGCTTATACATAATTGATTAATTCCTCTAAGATTTGCATTTCTTCTCCTAATGAAAAAATAAGGAAAGATGAAGCTAGACTTTGTATTATTCTATTCAAAACTATTAGTCTTATGGAGTGGTTGAAATGTGCTTCAAAAAATAGAAATTTGTTTGTTTTATTATCTATTAGTTTTACCTCTCACAACTTACAGCAACAACCACTTAAAAAAATATCCTTGCCTGGGACAGTGGCATACTACTGTAATCCCAGCTGCTTAGGAGGCTGAAGAAGGAGGATTACAAGTTCGATCCCAACCTGGGGCAACTTAGTGAAATCCTGTCTCAAAATTAAAAAAAAAAAAAAAATTAAAAGTCTGGTGATGTAGTTCAGTGGTAGAGAGCTTGCCTAGCATTCTTGAGGCCAAGTTCAGTCCCTAGTACTGGAAAAAAAAAAAACTTGAAGCCAATGATCGCTATATCTCCAGGTCTGATAAAAGTGTCAATAAAATCTCACTAAAACCATTACAGCAAATTTTTGAAGTAATAGTGAAGAAAGACAGAAACTATCATTTGCATTGGTCCAAATGATTTGCTGTTTGTTTAAATTTATAAGAAAATAATAATACTCATTATTTGCTATGATAAAAATAAAGTTTAAACAGTCTATCATATAAAAATTCAATTTAATTCAGTGATTTTTTAAAAATGCCATCTACAACTGGAAAAAAGAAAATGTAGTTATACACAATAGAGTACTACTCTGCCATAAAGATAAAATTGAGGCATCCATAGGTAAATGGATGCAACTCGAGACCATAATGAAATACATAAGACACACAAGTTTAAATATCGCATGGTTTCTCTTATATAGCATATATATGATATATATATGATACATCTATAAGATCAAAAATACATCTATATGGAGAGAGAGTGCAAAATAGAAGATAGATAAATGAGACATAGATCTTTTTCAAATATATGGGGAAACAAGAGATGGAGGGAGGGGAAAGGGACTAAAAAATAATTGCAGGGGAAAATGATGGAAATTCAGCTTTTGCAGATGGGAAGGGGGCCAAGAGTTGGAGGGAGCAGGGAGGGAAAGATGGGATAGAGGATAAAAACATAAAGAAGAACTAAGATCTGTTAGGAACATGACCAACTCCCCATGATAAATGTAATCATTATATACTACAAACAAGTACTGATAAATAACTAAAGGTATGCCATCTACCAATGGAAATGATAATTTCCAAGGGAAATATTGTGGAATCTGATATGTATATGGAAATTTGTTGTGATAAATTGTTTACTTCCATATGATTGAAGAAATTCATAATGACATTTTTTAGAATGCAAAACATAGACTAATTTTTTAAAAAGAAGAAAAAAATGGAAACACAGCTTTTGTAAATAGGGAGGAGTGGAGGGGTTGAAGGGAGGGAAGGGGAATGAGAAAAAATAAGAACAGAGATATATTATGTACAGGTACAAATTCCCAATGATGAATGTGATCATAATGTATACCTAAAATGTACCAATAAACTTAATGAGTAAAATAAAAATAAAAATAAAAAATAAGTGAGGATGATTTAATTTCCCAAAACACAGTGAAATAGAAAATTAATCTAAATGTTTATTTGTATATCAATATCATATTAAAATCCTACTGCAAAGTAAAAAGGAAAGCATGCTATGTTGGAGGAATAATAGTTAAATATTGTCAGAATATTAACTATGTAGAGAGGACTGTGGATGAAATCCTGAAAAAAAAAGCTAGAAATAAGATCCTGATAATTAAAACGAGAGGCCCAGAGATCCATGTCAGGTCAGATCTTTAATATTCAGTTCTGTGATGTCAGATATACTTGAAACAGGCAGATGCTGCAGGAAGGAATCACGCACTCTGTTCCCGCCGTAACATAGAGCACTCGGCTGAGTCACCCTGATACACAAGAAAGAGAAGACTTGGGGAGAAGAGCAGGATTCCCACACATAAGCTAGCTACACTGTCAAATTTTCATATTTATTTTGACAGAATGTGTTCCAGCAATTCATTTGCTATTCTGAATGATTATAAAATAAACATTTTCATTTGATTTTTCAAAAAAAATTTTTAACTTCTGTATCCATCTACTTGGGCCACCATACACAGAGTGGGTGGCTTAAACAACAGAAATGTATTTTCTCCTAGTTCCTGAGGCTGGAAGTCCAAGATCAAGGTGCCACAGGGCTGGTTTCTGTAGGATCACTTGCCTTGGCTCTCAGATGACTATCTTCTCGCTGTGTCCTCATGTGGCCTTTCCTGTGCACTTGCTTTCCTGATGTCTCTGTCTTCTTAGAAGCACTGAACTCCTGTTAGATGAGTGCCCCACACTGGTGACTGCACCTGACCTTGAGTCCTCTGTCGCCCAATATAGTCACACTGGGCTTCAACATAGGCATTTTGAGAGGATACAGCTTGATCCATCAAGGCTTTCATGCAAAAAAGAACCTCCATTTAAAACTGACACATACGTCATTAGTTAGAAAAAGTATAAAGAGTGATAAGAAGATAGAACTTAAGTAGTGAAACAAGGAATTTCTAGTTTAACACCAAACCCATGCAGCCATCTACAGAGAGCCTGGTCTGGTGCGTGGAGGGGAGCAGTGTGTGTGAGGCACGTATGTGTTTTAGTCCTGGTTAGGTTTTCCTCCTGTCTTCAGTAAGTTTCCCGAGTATTCCTCATAAATGTGTATAACTATTTAATATATTTTACCAAATATGTATATTTTCTATATTAACAGCTATAGAAAATATGAGCAAATTAAATATATAATGCTAAAAATTACTAAAGATAGTACAACTTTGAAAATATTATGATAGTACTTAATTCTTAGTTTTACCTCTATTATAGTCTAAGGATATGAATTTAGATTGTAGAATAAATATTTAATGTTATCTTTCACTTGGGGATGTGGTTGAGCTGACAGTAAAATATAGTATCTATTTTTGCACTTTCAAACTCATTTATTTCAAGATACAGTTTCAGGATGTATAGTGGTACATTAGCTCAGTCATAATGTGTGTGAGAATAAATCCCATTCATTTCTTCCTTACCAAGCCATTTCTTTCTTACTTTTACTAATGTATAGTTAATTTTTTAAAAAGTTTGTTAAGTAGTTTAATTTTGTGAAAACCTCCTACAGAAATATTTAAAATACTTTTTAAAAGGTTTGAAAATATTAAGTGAATTAAACTCTATATTTATGACATTTCTATTTCTTTTTTTGGTTTGTTTTTTTTTGGTACCGGAGATCGAATTCAGGACCTTGTGCTTGCAAGGCAAGCGGCAGAACCACTGAGCTAAATTCCCGGCCGGACATTTCTATTTCTAATAAGCTTACATCTTGGAATTCTCGGAAAGTAACAAATCCATTTTTCAATTAAAATGCTTGATATTACATATACCAAGATTATCTAATTCAGTGAGATTTAAATACTAATGTGTTTTACTCTACTAAAATGTCTAGAATTTGGGAAAATGGATGTTCCCATTCTAGAGGAGATGTCATATTTCTTTTTCAGATTTTTCTCTATACATTGTATTAATTTATAATATTAAAATCTTGTTGTGTACTGAAATTATATATATTAATATCTGTTGTGAATAATGGAAAAATCTCATTATGCATTTGTACCGTGAATGAAGATTACTTCTGCTAAAGTACAAAAGCTGTCCCCAGTGGAAACACAGCCAGTTTGCCCCAGGAAGAACATCCCTTCTAATGTGTTGTATTTGCACCTGCAGGAGCAGCACTGGACCAAGATTTTGATCATTTGTCCATTGATAGGCATTCCTTGGACTGTTGTACATGTGATATGACACAGTGGCAGTATTATAAAATTATAAAGGGTGAAAGTCCCTTTCATCCTTTAAAATAAAATTAAGGTTTTTTCTTCAATTTCAGAGGCCTTATCAACAAAGAAAATATTCCTTCTGGCTTCAGCAACCTTGATGAATGTATTTTGAATATTCAGGAAGTAGAAAAAATACATGAAAATACTTCTGATTATATTGGAGAAAGGAGCAAACCTAAACGTCAAAAATCTAGTTCTAAACTTTCTGAGCTCAATGAAAATCAAGATGGTCTTGTGGTAAGTGAATATTTTTCAGATTTTTTTTTCTTGTAGCCAGTTAAGGAAATGCATTCTCCTTTCCTTGCTTCATAAAGGAAATAAAAGTAATTTCAGTCTTGAGTTTCACAGAATTTTAGAATATGAGTTTTGGGGCACCTCAGAGCTAACTTAAGTATTTTCATTCCTTCCTTCCTTCCTTCCTTCCTTCCTTCCTTCCTTCCTTCCTTTTTCTTTTTTGTTGTTTGGTGGTACTGAGAATTGAACCCAGGGAGCACAGTTACATCCTCAGGCCTTTTTATTTTGAGACAGGGTCTTCCTAAATTGTCCAAACTGGCCTTAAACTTGGATCATCCTGCCTCAGCCTCCTGAGGAGCCTGGATTACAGGCATGGGCCAACATACCCTACTGTGATAGTAAATATACAAATTAAGGCTGAGCACTGGGTATAGCTCGGCACTAAAGTACTTGCATAAAGTCCCTGGGTTCAATCTATGGCACTGAAAAAAATATAATCATAATAATAATGCTAAAAAAATATGACATTCTCCCAAAGGAAGAAGGAACAGCACACGCTCTGATTTCCATGTTATTTAAATTGGTCTGATTTTTATATTTTTCTAAGCATTTTTACATTTTATTTTTTGATTAAAATTATTTAACATTTTTTCTTATTTTCCACCATTCCATTTATTCTTACCTATATAAATGTGTTAAAAAATGAATGAATGAATTTATAGCAAAGTGAAAGAAAAACACATAGGGAAAGAGGAGCAAGTGTCTTCATCTTCAGAAATCTCTTCACGTTCAGGTCAGTTTCAAGTTTATACTCAAAGTGGAGGTACTTTTTTCCAAATTAGAAACAAAAAGACATTAGTCACTTATTGTCTCAGACTCGAACCTTAGTTTAATTCAATAAATAATTCCATGTTTCAGTCAGTATTTGTTCCATATAACTATTTAATGTCATCGCTCCTTTACATTCATCCTTCAAATTGTCTGAAAAGTGAGAACCAAAATTTTACAATTCTTAGTTTTTTAATTAACAATGGAGAATAAACTTTATAATATAACATGAACTGTTGACCTTACTTAACAAAAGGCAGTTTTACTGTTTGATATGCAGGTTCTCTGGTCTCCTCTTATCTCTGACCAGTCTTCATTCAGCTCCATGCTGCATTTTCTATACATTCAGCACAACTTATAGGCCATCTTTTTTCCCACCGTCAATTTCTGTGCATGCTCAGAAACAATTCTCAGTTTTCCCCTGTGTACAGTATACACAAATGCAAATCTAGGAGAAAACATAATTGAATGACTTCCCCTACCTCCCAAATGTCTTATTTTGTTTCTAGAAATAAAATGTTCAACTAGAATGGTCAGAAATAATCGTCCTCCTTAAATTTCTGTCTGGTGCAATTAATTCTCAAAGAATCTAACCTTTGGGAGGAATCATTGTACATTAACTACATTTTAACAGTGATGAACTGATGATTTAACTTTTTTAGGAAAAGTTTAGTGTTTTTGTTTTGTTTTGTTCAATCTGCTGGGGAAAAGTTTAGTGTTTTTGTTTTGTTTTGTTTTGTTTTGTTCAATCTGCTGGGGAAAAGTTTAGTGTTTTTGTTTTGTTTTGTTCAATCTGCCAGGGATTAAACCCCAGGCCCAGGGCCTTGCAAATGCTGAGCGTGGGTGTCGATATTATACTGACCCATATTCCCAGCCCCTGAACAGTACCTTTTTAAATAAATGATACCGATTTCATTAACTATTTGGCCCATGACTTGGTTATTTGCCAAAGAAATTTATGCTGATTAAAAGTCTCAAGTTTACAGCGTGAAAAAATGTATATTTTGAATCTCTTTCCATGAACTTAACCCATCAGTAATTTTTTCCCCACGAGAAATAGTATCTTCAGTTAGCTAGGTGGTAAAAGTTAATAGAAGTGGAAAAACACATCTTTCCCTTGGAATATGTGTTTAACTGACAAAACCATGGACAGAGACCCTGTTGAAAAGCACTGGGCTGGGAGGCCCTTTTCCATTCTGGTCTTTTGAGTGTGAAGGTTTCCCCCACTCAGCTGCCCAGTTGCGCTTCCCACAGGAAAGCGCCATGGACCCTGGCTTTGTTGCGATGAATAACTTAAACCCTGCCAGCGTAACTCACAGGAAGAACTTCCTCCTCTGTGTATTCTCAAAGATCTTTTCTAACTCTCATATTCTGTGAATTTTAAAATCTAATATTGAAGGTAACCACAAAACAAGAGCCAAGATTCATAACAATGACTGGTATTTAGATCCTAAACTTGTCATGCATCTTAACTTCCTACTCATTTTTAACCATTTAATTTTACTTTCCCCAACCCTCCTCCAAAATCTTTTCCAACCCCATTTCAAGGCCTTTACGCTTGGGCTAAACATTTGTTTTTATAGCGAAAAGAAAGAAAAGAATAACCCAAGAAAGTGAAGGGAAACACATACATAGTTCTATACCTTCTGTGTGCCAAAAAATACTTTATATCTCAGGGATACAATAGTGAGAATAATAGGTAAAAATTCCTACCTTCATGAAACTTATATTCTAGTGGGGAAGCAGACAGTGATTAGAATAAATAAGTAAAGCATAAAGTACATGATATGAGATAGTGATGACTTCTTAGAAGAAAAGTAAAGCAGAGAATGGTGACAGGAATTTTGAAGGGGAGGATGCAATTTGAGTAGATTGGTCAGAGAAGACCTCTCCCAGAATTTGGCATTTGAGGATAAAGACCCAGAGGAAGCAAGGAAGCAAACCATACTGATAGAAATGTAGGGCTGCAAGCACCGAGGCACCATTGAGGAATCTGGAAAGTGTATGGAGCATGAAGACAGCACGGGGGTGGGGGTGGGGGTGGGGGGCTGCGGAGGCGGAGTGAGCAGAGGGAAGAAGCAGTGAGGAAGGAGAGAGGTTGAAGCAGGGCCTCACAGCTCATGGGGAAGACTCTGCCCTTACTCTGGGAGAAGAAGGAAGAAGCGAGCAGAGTTCTGGGTGGAACAGCAGTCTGGCTTCCTTAAATTCCGTGTAACTGCTTTGTGGAGCATTGACAGAAAGCAGGCGAGCAGGGGGACCAGTTAGGATATGCTTGTCATTTCTGGGTTTGAAATGGTTTGAACTAAGCTGATACAATGTGTATGGAAGTGTGTATGGCTTTGCAGGTTAGTGTTGCCTGTTAATGGAGATGGGAATGGTATCCTGGATTCAGATTTGGACCTGTAAAGAAAGAGCTGCCTGTTAGACATCTAAGAGGAGGTGTCAGAGAGCGTAGAACTACAAACACACACATGATCAGCATTGTAGATGACACTTAAGGTGATACTTGGAGGAGACAACAAGGGACAAGACAACAGGGGAGCAAGTATAGGTTAGAAGAGTGGCCAGGGCATGGGCCCTGCAGTGTGCCACCATTGAGAGGATGGGGAGGTAAGAAGCCAGAAGAGACCTAAGAACAAACAGATAGAAAAATAGAAGAAAAATGAAGTTTATTTGGTGTTTTAGAAACCACATAACTAGACCAGGTGTAATGCCGCATGCCTGTAATCCCAGCACTTGGGTGGCTGAGGCAGGAGGACTGCCAGGAGTTCAAAGCCAGCCTGAGCTACATAGTGAGTTCAAGGCCAGCCTTGAGCTATATAGCGAGACCCTGTTTCAAAAAAAAAAATAGAAGCCACATAACCAAGTGTCTCACAGAGAAAGATAGTCAGATGAGAGGTTGAATAGAGGATGGTAGAGCTCACCATGTTCTTAGTGGGAGCAAGCTGGTAGAGGGACGGGAGCAAAAGCCATTCTCAAGAGAGAACAAGAGAAACTGAAGACAGGAGCTTCCCAGTGACCTCACCGGCCTCCCCCACAGCCAAAGAGGAAGATGTGACACACCCTCCACAAGTCTCCTGCAGATGTGGAGCCTCTGCAGTGGGCACTTTGTCCTCTTGCGCCTCAAGGCTGTGATGACCAGCAGAGACCAAGAGACCACATTGAAGCCAGTGGTCCTGAGCTACAGTCGGTGTGAGATGGCTCTCCCTTATTGCTCACTGTGGTGGATTAACTAATGGTCAACTTGTAACGCCCAGCTGAGCTGAATCAGTGTAGTCTGGGCATGGAAGATCCACTTGAGGATTGTTAATAGCCATAAAAAGAGGGCTGGAGGGGAAGATTGTGGGCTGTTGATTTTTTCTGGGAGAAGCTTGCTGTGGCTTTGTCATGGGCTCTAGGCCACTGGCTGGACTCGAGCAGGACATTGCCTTGGACTGTAGGCCTTTAGCTGGACTTGTGTGGGACATTGCTGTGGGATCCAGGCCCTTGGCTAAATTCTTTGGGACCCTGTGTGCAGTTAATCTCTTGTACTCCTCTGTATTTAACTTTTTGGGTAAATATCATAAAATAATCCTATAAATTATGTGTCCTGTATTAAATGTATTCTCTTGCCAAATCCATGACTACCACACTAACGATCACCATGATCCCAGCCATTCTGTCTGCCTCAGACACTGCTCCCCTTGCCCTGAACTCTCATAGGAAAGCTTTGTCCCCTGCTTTACTCAGAAAAGCTAAGACAGTTCGGCTGGACCACTGGTAATGGTCCTCTTTTATCATACCAATAGTTCTTTTGAATGTGGATTAGCTTATACAATTTTAAGTAATAACACATGGAAATGTACAAAGGAGAAAATAAAGGAATTCAAACCTGCCATTGATTCTTTGTTAATGAGACTATATCAGATATTCTCCTTTTCAGAGCTCAAGGTTAAAATAATGAACCTGTTTTGACTAGCAGCATTGCTCTGGCCTTCAATTTGACCTGTTTGTCTAATGAGAGAAGGCATTTTTTTCTATGTCCTCTATAAAGGCTTTGTCAGCATTTTACAGTTTTAGAAGACGGTTTTGTTTTTTCTCCAGCCATTTTCAAGTACCCCTGTCAGTGGTCAAACAGGTTTTGAGTCTAGCTTTCAATGCCAACACAGGGGGGTGGGGTGGGGGAAGAATTACAAATGTATCTACAATCAGAAGCTAGCTTTATCATAGCATTTGCTTTTTTAAATTTGAAGGTTACGTTTATAATTGAGGGGGGTAGATTTTAAAATTCATTTACTTCTCCACACCCCAAAATTATCAAAATATAAAATGTCATATTACATCTGTGTTTTGAAAGTCACTAGGAGAACTTACATGAGTCAGAATTTATGGATTGTAAACTAAGCTTTATCTGATTAAAAATTATAAGAAGTAATTTCACTGCATTATATTAAAGTCATAATCTAGTTTTTGCATTTTTTTTCAGTACTGAGGGTTTAACCTAGAGCCTCATACAAGCAAGGTCTGTACCACTGAGCTATACCTGAAGGCCTTTTTATTTTATTATTTTGAGACAAGGTTTGACTAATTGCCCAGGCTCCCTCAAGGTTGCAGTCCTCCTGCTTCAGCCTCTGAAAGAGCTGAGATTACAAGTGTGAGTCACCGTGCCCAGTTCTTCTTGGCTATTTTTAAAAATATCTTTAAAATTTAAATATTTTTAAAAAGTTAATACAATAAATCATTTTTGTAATAGTTCTATTATGTTACCTTTAAAAAATGAAAATACTAATGGACTACTCTTTTACCACACCTAGAAATCAGTTTGGTAAAAGTAAACCATTCCAAACCTTCAAATTGCACTGTGTACATAATTCCTCATAGTATAAATCCATTAGCAGCTGCAGCAGATATGAAAGTGCAGCAGTATACTTCTTTCTCATCCAGGGGAAGCAATCTGTGTTTCGATGCTGTTTTAGCCTGTGTGTTTTATTTTCCCCTTCCCTCATCTCAGTAAGGTCAGGAATTAATCATTTTGTCTTATCTGCTCACTAAACCCTAGACAAAGGATAGATTTGGGAATTCATAAAACATTTTGTGCTCTGTGAAAATGAGTAGTTTCGTTAACATAGCATATCTTCATTACCTTGGTCAGTTTCATTCTGAAAACTCAAGAAGACTTGCCAGGTTTAACACCCTACTCAGGTGTTCCTGCCCCTGACAGGTACAGGTGCAGCCCAGCAACGCTAGTGAAGGAACACTGTGTGCCTCAGGCAGGGCTGAGGTACTCCAGACGGGGTTATGCAGCAGTCTCACATATGTGGAGAAACAATATGACAGTAGAAATGACTGAAAACCTTTTAAGAGGAATATTGCACAGTGTTGATACTCAGCCATTACAAATTACATCTGTAAAAACTGAGAGCCTGGAAGAGTTCTTAAACATGGTTCAAACATTAAAAGAAGAGGGGAGGGAGTTGATGAAGTCAGTACTTATTCTAACCCTTGAGGTTGACTAAAAATTTTCACATCTTAAAAGTTCTTTTTTGCAAATCTTTCTATTATTATAACATAACTATTCAATAACTCTCAAAATCTGTATCATTATATTTTGTTTCCTTTTTTTAGGAGAAAAATGAATCTTCTATCAGCTTGTAACTAAAATGTCTCTAAATTTGTAGAATGCTATTTTGGTTTATTTTCTGTACTCACCTTTCTGAATTTTCCTTAGCTTTAACCTGAAAATGTTTATTTCTTCCAAAAAACTGATTCACTTGTAATTTTAAATACACAATTCATTTCACCAGCACTGTTTGGAAATGATATGAAAAGATTGTGCTTTCCCTAGGAATTTGTGTTTCTGAGCTTTAGGAAAACCTAATACTATTGTGCTAGATCTTTCACTAAAGATTTTGATAATCTATTAAAGATTACCAATGGGAACAAACAAAGATTCTTTGTCACAGATATATCCCCCTTTATCAGGAAGGTCACATTCAGGTAATAAGAGCCATTATGCTCTGGTTTAATGGAAGCCAGTTATAAGAGACTTTTCTAACTCAAACTTTAAAGGTGTAAATGCAATTGAATACTGTCATAATTTTTTTCTCAGATCCATTCTAAAATTATCTAAGTATACAAGTCTTCTGAGTAAATTGATGCTTAGTATTCTAATGGGCAGACACAAATACTATCTTGTAAATTCCTGGGGCTGTCTTGCCTGTGGACAAATAGTGAAATATTTTCTTTGGAAGTTTCACACCTTTAGAAAGAGTAGTAACAATTAATGTGCATTAAGTATACTAGGCATGACTCCAGTGCTTTACATGTATTATTTTGCTTAATCCTCATAATAAGCCTGTGGCAAGTAGTGTTGCCACCTCCATTTAAGGAAACTGAGACTCAAGTGGAATCATAGAATTGGCAGTTGATGGAGCCAGAAGTCAAAGCCAATCATTCTGACCCCAAAGCCTCTGTCAACTATTACATTGTGCTGTCTCCCTTTCTTCCATTCTTTGGTGGAGCCCAGGGTGTCAAACTGAGGATTCCAGACAAGTTACCCGGACCAACATAAATGGAAAATAGTTAATTCACCTACCAAGCCAAAGATTAGCTTCTAACTGTGATACATCTTTATTTTATGGAGATTTTTATACATGCCAATTTCATGGGATTCTTGTGACTTTTTAGAGTGTTTTCGTAATGGTAGGTTATTAATGTGCAGGTAAATGTGTGTTCTTTATTTATTTTAATGACACACGGTAAGTGGATTGTACCTAGCATCCTTCTGAATGTGAATCTCTGAGTTTAGTGAAATTCAGGTTCAAATTTTGAAGGCAGCCATTTTTTTTTTTGTACCGGGGATCGAATTCAAGTCCTTGCACTTGTGAGGCAGGTGGCGGAACCACTGAGCTAAATTCCCGGCCCAGCCATGTTTTGAGTCTGCTGAATTTACAAATATACTCTTCCTTCATGAGGATGAATTACTCATTCTGTGCTTAATCACCTGCATTACTTTTAGAAAACATTGGCTGAATTCACAGAGGCAGTCTAAAAAACCTTACAAACATTAAGCCTACTTTGTTGGCCTAAAACATATACTCTTAAAAATATATATATATATACTCTTCAAGTAAGTTTTCTATTTATATTTTGTACACCCTTGCTAATACAAAAATATACATTAAATATTGCAGAAAGGATTTTAAATTACTTTCATTTCTTTCTGTGAATAGTTTTACAACTTAGATATAAGCTATATATGCTTTTTCTAGATCATATTGGCTGTATTCTACAAAGATTATGAGTAATAAATGTTATGTCAATTTCTGATTAGATTCAAGATTTATATTCCTCAGTTCTAGTTCTAAGCCATCCTGATTCTCTGATGATCGAGTTTGGTTCTGTTTAGCTGTCAAATGTGCATACTACCTAGTGGAGACATTATGGGAACAATGGCCATTTCCTTGATGCTGTCAGCTGTCTTTGTTAAAGGGATGATAAAAATCAATGTGCAACTTTAAACAAAATAATAAACTGTCATAATTTTACTTGTTTTAACAAAGATGGAAATGTGAGGACTATAATTAGTTTATATCTACAGTTACCTGATTTTTTTTTTTCTTTTTTACTTTAGAAAAAAGAGTCTGCTGTTGCATGTTTCTTACCAGGCCATTAAGCAACTAATAATTGTTCTGTTACAGAATATGGAAAGTTTCAGTTCCGTACAATCAAATGACAGGACTGGAGTTGATGATGTTGAACTGATGTCTGAAGAAAGGTAATTTTAGAATTTTCTCCTTACATTCATTCCAAGGGTATGACAAGATTACTATTTTCATTTAATGCAACGTGGGTTATAAAAACCAAAAAGAATGGAATTTAAGGACTGTATGTTGATTATTTTATGGTAAGGAAAATACTTAGAATAGAAATCTACAAGGCAAATAATCACGTTTGTGCTTCTAGTTTTTTTTGTTTTGTTTTTGAATTTTATAAGGAGTTTAGAGCTATTAGCCCACTTTTAAAATAAACCAAGTTGTTATATGAATGGATGAAAGGCATTGTCATAAAAATGGACACTTGGTGATATTTTGTTATGGTTGCTGTTGTTTATAGCAAAGAAAATGAAAAAGATGGTGGAGACACCCAGCATAATGAGGTGAGTAACTAACAAATGTGTGGCTGTGAGGGGCTGTCCCTACATTCTTGAGTGTGTGTGAAATGTCACTAGCCTGGCCTTAGGAACAATAGAGTGATAGGACTGTGTCTGGATAGAAAGGCAAATACCAACATCTAAAGATTCCTTGAGAAGTTTGCTTTTGAAGTTGTATTTGCTTGTCAAGATAAACTTTAATAGCGTGGGGATTTCTTTTTAGATTTTCCATTGAATAAAACAAAAAGCCAAAGGTGCTGTTTTCCATGATATTTCCATGATTTGGTGCATATTTTTAAATGATTAAACTATGTTAAGTAGTGAGTTTTAAGGGATCTTTCATAGGGTGTCTCAGTCACCTTCCTTATCACTGGGACAAAATACCTCACCCCCAACTTAAAGGAGAAGAGGTTTATTTTGGCTCATAGTTTTAGAAGATTCGGTCCATAATTTGCTGGCTTCAAGGCAGAAAGGGCATGGTGGGGCTTCTGGGTGGAGGACAGCTCTTCACATCATGGTGGCCAGGAAGCAGAGAGAGAAGGGAGGAGCAGTGGAGGAGATACACCCTTCCAGGGCACCTTCATGACCACCCCAGCCAGGCCCCACCCCCAGACAGCACATTCAGCTATGAACCCGTCTATGGATGAATCCACTGAGGAGTAGAGCTCCTGATGATCCAACCACCCTTTTGGGGGACAATTTTTATCTAAACCATAACACAAGGATTTTCTCATTAATTTTCAAATTAACAAATTCTGTTTGAGTTATTTAATCCAATTCAATATCTCAGTTTTGTGTCTCTGTTCAAGTAAACAATAGAGAAAAAATAAACCTCCTGCATCATCTATATTTTCAAGTTTCACTTACTTTCCTGGCTCTCGACTGGTCCTCTGGGGCATCACCACATGGATCCAAGTATTTGGTCTCCCTTGCTTCCATTCAGCATGCTGGGCCTCATTTTTAGTTCATGTATGTAGGTTTAATCTAACTCTTCCAAATGCTACCAACCCTAGCTTGAATCTCATAACAGGTTCATTTTTTTGCAAGAACTAAAAGCTTTTATCAACCTATTCTTAAAATTCTGACTTTTTAATATATTAATTATTAGAGAACTATTGCTCTAAAATGACTCTTCGGGAGTTTTTTGTTTGTTTTTTGTTTTTCTTTGTTGTTGTTGTTGTTGTTGTTTTGAGGCAGGGTCTCCCTTTGTAGTTCAGGCTGGCCCTGAATTCACTGTGTAGTTCAGGCTGGCCTTGAACTTGCACCACTCCTCCTGCCTCAGCCTCCCAAGTGCTGGGATTACAGGCATACACCACCAGGGCCAGCTTGACTCTTCGTTTTTGTGGTACACTTGCATAGTTAATTTACTGATGGATTTAGTCAGCAACATGTATTATCTTCCACTGTGTACAAATTCTGTGTTAAGACCAAGAGTTTGATGACAGTCACAGTCCCTGCTCCTGTGGAGTTTTACAGTCTACCAGATGAGTCATCTGAATGCTGGGGCTGGGGTGTCACTCAGTGGTAGAGCCCTTGTCTAGCATGAATAAGGCCCTGGATCCAGTCTCCAGCACTACAAACAAACAAGACCCTGAAAGCTATGGACTCCCTTTCCAGGAAACTGCATGCTCACATTAAATTTTGCATAAAATTACTGGAACTCAATGACCACCCCCCATATACACAAACATGCTTATACTGTAGACTCCTTACATTTCCTATTCAATTCTTGTCATGTATACTTCTTTATCCTAGATAATGGGAAGGAAATGCTACCTCTTTCTGATTGCTCAGCTTCAGAGCCAATTCTTTCATCTCTTATTTCCAACTCATTTATGCTTCCTTCCTGGGGACCCTGGCCCCAAGCTGACATGCTTTCCTTGTCTCTAAGTGTCTTTTTAAAAGAGCCTGTTTCCTCATGATAGTTTTTTGGATGTTGTTAATTTTTTTCCCTTATCTTTTCTCTGCCATCTTCCTCTGCACACAGCAGGCACCTATTCATCATGCCACTGAACTTTATTTTAAAGAATATCACTTTACCAGCTTCCTGGGGAGGTCTTCTCAGTTCTTCCTTTTTATGCTTGTTATCTTTTATGACATAAAGGGAATAGAGTGACTTTTGTGGATGAACTCCATAGCATTAACTCATGAATTCCAGGTAACACCCAAACTAAATTCGTGCTGAACTCAGTTTACCTAGGCCTTTCTGTGGACAGCTTCCATGACAATGGATGAATCATGGGGAAAGAATCTCAAATCCTCTTCCATGTGCCAGGTGCTATTCTTACATGTATCACCCATGTGCAGCCACCAATCAGTGCCTGATCATGGCCAGCATTCCCAAAGCATTTGGCATTAATAATCATTGCCATCCTGACCATTTCAGTTAGGAGATAAAATTACAAGGTGAGTTAGAATCCACACTTAGCTTTTCAAATCAATTTCCCATCACAGCTACACCAAAAAAAAAAATAAAAAAAGACCTCACTCCACAAGATTGGGATTATTTCTATCATGAGGGCTTGCATTACTTTCACTGAAATATATTTTGTTATTCAGGAAAGACTGTGAAAAGGTCTGTTTTTCATTTTTAAAGCTCTTTGCCTTAATTGAGTGTGTTGTAATTTCTTACTTTTTAATACATATAGCCCTTCCTAAAACTTATCATACTATCCAAATAGTAATCTGTTTTTCTGGTAAAACAGCAATAATCCCTCAATTTCAGAGTTGAAAAATAAGTCTAGATTCTGGTTACCCTTTCCAGAATTCTATTTAATTAGTATTTATTTTGTTTCAAGTCTCCTACAGCATCAGATTGAGATGCCACAGTTTACATGTTCACATGAATGGGTATAGTAGTTTTTCCAATTTTTTTTTCCATTAAGACAGATTTTGTTATCATTAACACTGTCCTTTAAAGTTCTTGTAAACTCCCAGATTCATTTAAGATTACGAAGAAAATGACAGCCCCTGGGGACAGGTGGGATTTTTTTTTTTCCTATTGTGGTTATTGTTCCCATTAGAGGAGGAACTGGCCTTCAAAGCTGATATTAATTTTTTTAAATAATCAGGGTGCAACTTTCACTGTATTTTGTTTGAAGGCATGTGTTGAAAGTGAATGTGAACTTATCCCTTTTTTGTTATGCCTTTTTAGTTTCTTGTAATTATGCAACTAATCTTAGCTGAAAAGAGGATGTGTTGAGCTCTCAGATGGGAATTGGCCATTGAGAGCGACCCATTTCTATTTTTTATGTGGTTAGGATTTAAATTTGTTTAATGACACATTTCAATGAAAAAGAAAAGTTCAGAGTCGTTTCAAAAGTGCCACAAGTGAAAGTACAGTTTCTTTGGGAGGTTTTGGAATGGCTGGTGTGTCAGTGAAACATGGTGTCCGGCTTCATGAAATGAGATAAAAAGAAAGAGCCTAGCGCATGCTCCCTGGGCTCATGGAAACCCGAGTGTTTGTCCTTTAGTTTGTGAACTCTTTTTAACAACTGCTGGAATCTAGAAGAGAAGTCACTTCTATAGCTAGCAACACCTAGATTCTAAAAGATATCATAGAAAAGTCATTTTCAGAATTCTGCCTGAAGTTGAGTTTATACCTTACTCTTCAGTGCCTTCTAATGTATTTTCTACTGTGAAAATATTTTATGTTTCACATAATATCTAGAATATTCAAGCAATAACCTTACAACGAACCTCTTTGTCAAGGAAGCAAAACAAGTAAGAATTATTAACTGCTTCTGAAGGTATTATGTTATCTGTTCAAGCTCATTTTGTCAGAATTATATGGTCAGTGAAGTGTTAAATTCTTTCAAGATATTTTTACATTCTTTATGCTTCTAAGCCCATTGCTTAAGAGTGCTTAGAAGCATACCTTTGATAACAAACAAGACATTCATCATAAACAGATTATTTCCCTTTTATAAATTTTGCTTCAAAGAAAAAAAAAGGAAGGGAGGGAGGAGAAAAGAGAGAGAAAGGAGGAGAGAAAGAAAGGAGAGTAGGAAAAGTGGAGGCTGTCTAATCAAGACTGAGAATTAAATTAATTATCACAAGATCCAAGTGCAAGTTTTTATTTGCCCTGAGAAGAAGATTTCTGAAATGTCTCCATCGATAATTGTCAAAGACTACTGGCCCTTTGCAGTTCACATGAGTTTGGAATGTCCATTTTCATTTATTGTCAGGCCAAAAAGTAAATGTTTATGGTTCCACATGGTTAACACTGTGGGTTTTTTCCTATGCAAATTGCATTATCCAGCATACTCTTGAATCCCATCATTCCTGGCTCTTTTAGCTGTTAGGGCACTAATCCATATTTTCTGCAGGGAAGGAAAAGGAATGGAATAAAAATTCACCAAATAACGAAATATGGTGGCACATACTGGTGATCCCAGCACTCAAGAGGCTGAGGCAGAAGGATAACCACAAGTCTGAGACCAGGCTGGGATACATAGTGAGACCTTGTTTCAAATAAATAAAACAAAAAACAGATATTCACCAACTACTTGAATCTAGGGAAGGGGAAGGATCAATGAAGGCTGGGGATAGAAGAATCACCCCCAGCTCGACAGGAACAAGTCTTGGCAAAGATTACACTGATAAACTCAGAGTTAATGGCTTCTTGACCTGCACATAAAGTGTCCAGTGGCCCCCAGGGGAGGGGAGTACCCACACTGCTCCCTAGCACCCTGTGCTTTTCTCTTGTAACATATGTGACAGCGGCTTCTCTTCCACATTGGATCCTTTCACTTGTTCAGTCCCAAATTCTGGTGTCTAGAACAGACTAGGTCTTCCGTAAATACTTCCCAAATGAATAGGCAATGGAAGGAGAACAGAAATAGAAATAGCATTTATTTTACAGTTACTATGTAGTGTTTATACGTGGTTTCCATTTAATCTTCCAAACAGCCTGACTAGAGTGGAAGGATGTAAGGTTCAAAGAGGTTGGCCCACTCAGGTCTTGAAGCTGCCTCCAAAACCCATCCTTGTCTACCTACCACATAGTCTCCTCTAAGAGCTACATTCTGTTTCAGCACATGAGGATTTAGTATGCTTTTCTGTGGGGCAGTGTTTCTGACAAGGGTTTGGTGTGTGACACATCACAGCATAAGGATCTCTGAGTTGAAAATTGTGACATTATCTATTCTCTGATATAACTGAAGATAGACTTGTAAAGAAAAAAGTTTAAGCCAAAACTGTTTTATATTTGAGTCTGCCCTTGACCTGTTAACTTTAATGGTCTAGTAGGAGAAACAAATAAGCGAACAGGCAGTATTTGCCTTCCTGTATGATACCAGCAGTCTTGGATGGTGTGAGCCACCAGTCAAGGTGCCTCTAGCAAGGGGGACATTTGAAGGAGCAGCAGAGCCTGAACAGTTTCCCATGAGCAGCCACTGGGCAGCAGCCCCAACCCCACAGCCGCTGTGCGAGCCTGGGCCAATAGGTACTGCCAGGTTCCGAGACCAGCAGGGCCAGAAATTGGGACTCAGGTTCTAGGAGCAGCGGGCTTGTGAAAGAGAACTTGAGGGACTGACCTGAGCACAGCAAGGTTGGACCAAGTCGTGTGTGCATTTCCACAGAAGTGGGAAGTGCCTGTGTGCCTGCCAGGCAGGTGTATGGAGGAGAGGGTGTGCACTTCCGGGCCAGAAAGCAGCCAGGAGGCTGGAAGCTCACATGTGTTAAACTCATGTGTGTCTCTGCAGACACACACAGTCCAGGCCACATCCTTAACACCCACGTGATGGCCTTGGCTGTCCTTTGCTGATCCCAGACCCAGTGGCCTCTGAGCTGCTCCTGAATTGTATAAACAATGACCATGCCTCACTGAATGGGACCCCAGGCACCAGCTTCCTCTTCCCTGCAATGCTTTTCCACAGACGGCTTCCTCTCCTGCTTCTTTCCCATCTCAGTTCAGCCACCACTTCCTCAGGGACGCTCTCGACCACTCCATCTGAAGTACCAGACCTCAGCTCCTATCACCCACACCCCTCTTCCCTGGCCTGTTTTCTCCACAGTCCTTGCGGTTTTTTCTTTATTAACTATCTCCTATAGGATTTGTCAGGACAGAGACTTCACTTGGTCCAGTGCTGTTTCCCCAGTATCTAAAAGACTGTCTTGCATAGATTAGGCACTCAGAAACCATTTCTTGTTGATATTGGGATTTTTCTTTGTTTTTGCTTTTGTTGTGACAAGAGTCTCACTGTCAGTTCAGACTGGCCTTGAAATAACTGTGTAGTTCAGGTTAGTCTCAAAATCTCAGTGCTCCTCCTGTCTCAGCCTACTAAATTCTGGGAGTAGAGACATGTGCCACCATGCCTGGTTTTTTTTCTTTCTTTTTTTTTTTGGTACTGGGGATTGAACTCAGGACCTTGCGCTTGTGAGGCAGGCACTGGAACCACTGAGCTAAATCCCCAGCCTCCCTCCACGCCTGGTTTTTAAAAAGCATTTCTTGAACAAATAATGGATAAATTTTATCTTTGTATATCTATTCTCTGACATATAACAGGCAGCACTATGGCATAGTACCTATTTATGCAGTGTATAACTATCAAATGCTAAGCCCAGCACACAATACCCTTCACAGGTGACTGACACCCTTGTCCTCTGCCATTCTCCTGCCCTGTCCTAAGGGCTGGCCACCCCGAGCCTCTTCTCACAGTGGCTGACATAGCACACCCTCCTGCCTGTCTTCACATGCGCTCCACCTCCTTCCAGCCATCCAAGTCCACACCTATCTGCCCCCAGTTCAGAGCTGCCGCTGCCACTGCCACTGCTGCTGCTGCTGGTTCCTGGCAGACACCCTAGTGGCTCTGTTTGCTGGTCTTTTTATCATGAAGCATTCCTTGAAAACTGTGTTCCATCCTGTTGTAGCATGCTTCATGTCACAAGCTTCTCCCGCCTCATCTTCCATGCTTCCCTCTAGCAGTTCTGGGCCTGGCATTGTTCTTCCATTCATTTTTATAAGGTGCTACTTGGTCATAGAACAATGGCTTCTGTTGGTGTCTCTCACTCCCCAGGCACCAAGCCACAGGGCTTTCTTGCCTTTTCCTTTTCTCCCATCTTGACAGCCCCTTGCAAGGTTAGACTCATGTCTACCACTTGAAAGATGAAGTAATGGAGGATCCACAGAGGGCAGCTGGCAAATGTCAGCACCACACTGCAAATGCAGCACCCGTGTCATGTCTCTATGTCCTGTCCTGAGCATCACACTTTATTTTTGTTTTTTGTTTTTGTTTTGTACCAGGGAACAAACTCAAGACCTTGTATTTGCAAGGCAAGTGTGGTGCTACTGAGCTAAATCCCCAGCCCCTGGCCAACACACTTTAAATGACATGATGCATGGGCTTCTCATATAGAAAATACCTTACTTTATAAATGAAATCATGTATCTTATATTGTTTTCTTTGATGTCTCTGAGTATAGCAATCTTTAGACATCTTTGTTGAGAAATATTTAATTATGTGTAATTATGTGTAATCTCTGTCTCTCTTGCTGTCACACACATACACACACACACAGGATTGGCCACCAAGTGACCCTGTAATTTTTTAAAAGCTGGGCACCAGATTTGGGCATTCAGCCCTTGTTTACTCAGGAGTCTGCTCAAGGAACATGTCATTTTCATGACATAAATGCACCACCACCCCCAACAGCATTTTTTAAATGTCTTAAAGCACCAGATTCCTTGGTGTTTCCATCTGACTTCAGTCGCTCACCCTGACCTAATTAATGTTTCATTTTATCCCAAATTCGAAGAAAATACAGGTCTCACACATGGAAATGTAATAGTAAAAGTGCTGTCTGTTCATCCCTACTGACTTCAAAGTGGGCTGCATAGCTATTAAAAGTAGCAGGAAGCCTTAAATAGAGCTTTATTTTAAGCATAAGAACATTTCTCTTACATTAATGAATTCACTTATGATTTCCAGATGTTCTCAGTTTTTTCAAATGATAGCATATTTGCTGAAATAAATTTCCGTTTACTCTCAAAGAAAATATCTTGTACAGATCTGTGCTACTAGAGAAATACATTTTTGCATAAACACTTTCATAAACACATTTATTCATGTTATGAGAACAAGAAGAATGACAATGGCTTGGTTTACAATATGCCAAAGGGGAAACTAAAAAGAGAATTTCAGTGCAATAAGAGTCCTCTCTGTGCTTTTTTAAAAAATGCAAAATCATGTAACTTGAATATCAGCCTTCTGGGGAGGATTTACCCCTCCATCAGGTTTCCTAGCCTGGTGTAGGTGTCACCAATGAACAAAACCAAGAGTAGCTGAATATTTAGTATGCATAGTAAATGAATAGTAGGAAAACAAGTGACAGTTGCATATTTGTAACATATAAATTATGCATCACCGAATTGCTAGTGCTTGACTTTTTATAAAAGAAAAAAAGCCACTCTCCCCGTGTAATTTTGGATCACTTCCAGGGTCTGTATTTTGTACTGCTAGCTGAGATGGGACACCAGAGCCCTGTGCTGTTTGAATTTGTGCAACCATGCTTTAATACCCTGAGCTCCTCCATAAATAGCCGGTTCACCCCATACTCTGCAGGAAAACAGCCACAGGAAATCTGCAAATGTGCAGCTTGCCCCGTGTAATTGATCTAAGCCTGCGGGAGTGTTTGTCCCCAGCCCTTCCAGTGCTGTTTACCTAAGGGCAAAGAAGTCTGCGTGCAAGACACCATGTTGCTGCTCCAGCCTTAGCAACAGCAGCCACTGGCTTTTTTGTTGTTATTGTTTATAGTCTAGAGAGCCGTGCTCCTTTAAGGAAACAAACTCCTTCCCTTCATTCCTGGCCCTAGTCAGTAATCATCCAGACTGTCAGCTGCCTGCAGTTATCAGGAGCAGCAGCCCAAGGAAATCCTCCTGTCTCCCTTGCGGAAGAAAAGTTAAAGGAGTACAGATGGACTGTTGCTTTCTGTGTGAGAGTGGCCAGCTTGTATCCAGGGTATGCCGAGCCATGATTCTGCTATCTGTGCTGGATACATGAGCAGCTGTGGCTTGGGAGGTTTCATCCAGAAGGAGTGGGATTGCTGCAGACGCCACTGGGTTTTGGTGAACAGTGGCTGTTCCGGAACATTGTGCTGTTATTGCAGAGCCCCACGATGAAGATTCAGGAGCATCCCAGCACACCTGACAGCAAACAGCAGAGGAGTCAAGATGCCGACACCCAAGAGGAGAGCTTTGTCTCTGAAGTGCCCCATTTGGACCTGACTGCACTGTGTGATGAGAAGAGCTGGGAAGGTAGGTGACCTTCTGTTACTTGTCACTTGGATTTAGCATCAGAAAAGCATGTGTAAATATGTGTATATGAGAAGCACTTAACCACAGGAATGTGTGTGTGGGTAAAGGGAGAGCGAGCAAGGAGAAGTAACTGCGTGTGTAGATGATGGAGCTCCTTCACCTGGCATAGGAATGCGTCACGTACAGTGCTGCCAAGAGTGGTTGCAGTTGAAGAGAGAAAATGCTTTTGCCCTTTGTCACAGTGTCACCTCGCAGTCCTTTTTTTTTTTCTTTTTAACTCACTAAGACAGCTAATAGAGGTGTCTTTTCCTTCTAGTAGTACCCAGCAGAGTACATTTAGGGTTTCCTTCTCTGTGTGCCTGATCCCCCACTACTACATGTCAGCCACCTACTGCCTTCAGAAAACCTTCCTGTTTTTCAAGAAATATGTTTTGCTTTGCTTCTCTTTATTTTTATGGGTCCTTATTTTTAAAAATTCAGGTTATTAAACTTGAGGGATTTGCTTATCAAAGAGAACACTAAATAAAAATGCTTCTTACAAAAAACTTGTAACTCAGTGGTTTAAATTTGTTGTTCTGGAGACTTCTGGTGAAAATGTTAGCAATTTACTTTGAGGAAGAAGAGGGTAACCTTACCGGAACCGTGTTCCAGGGAGGGTATCATATGAGTCTTATCAAGCCACTGGTGTTTATATTTTCCCTCTGTCTACCTCCGAACATGTATCGGTGTGTATCTAGAATAAATGCCTGTCTGCCTGTATCTGGTGTGTGTTTAGAAGCGACAACCAGGGGGAAATTTTGCTCTTGATTGCAGTATAGCAGCATGACTTAACACAGTGACTTACAAGAGAATCACAGCTACAGAAAGTCCTTCACAGCACCTGGATTTCCTTTTCTATCCCTACCTCCTTCTCCCTTTTTGAACCAAGAAGTATTCTTTGCAGTAACGGTTTTAGGTGAAGGATCAAAAGGCAATGAAAAGCACAAAGTGGAAAGAGATAACCTGTTATGCTCCTGGCCTCCAGGGCAGACTCTTTTAATTCTTCTTCTCCCTCCTGTAATGTAAGAAATCTGTTCTGGTTCTTTTCATATAATTAGGCAGTCGATCTGAGACGATGTCATCCCCTTGCAGCTCCCAGTACACTCACTGAACAACAAATGCATAGTGGTTTTTTTTTTAATGTAAGTGATATACATTCCTGGGTACTGTTTGTTCTTTTATTTTTGTGTACTCTGAAAAATCGCATGTGTTTTGAATTCATATTCTGAAAACAACCTACTCTTCCCCACCCAGAGAGTCTCATTAGTCACTGTTGCCCAAATAAAAAAAAATTTTTAAAGAGTAAGCAAGTGCTGTATTTGGGTTTTAGTGATATCTGTCTGCTGTGAAGCTCAAAAATAACCTACGATTTGGGGTCAGAATTCAAATTAGTCATGTTCTTCTCTTCCTGAAATGGACTGTTTGATTATTTTTTATCTTAGTTAATCGTAAACTCCCAGCACACTTAAAGCAGCAGATATAAAGATAAAAAGTTCTCTCCAGAGTGTTTGAAAGCCAATTTGGAGTTTCCCTAAAACTATTTCATTATTTAATATGAAGAACTTTTCTTCAGATAAATAGTAATGTGAAGGAACAAACATTTTATTTTGGAAATCCAGATATCATTTTCTTTAAAAGGCTATTGGGAGGGGCTGGGGATTGAGCTCAGTGGTACTGTCGCCTGCCTCCCAAACACAGGGTCCTGAGTTCAATCCCTGGTATCAAAGAAGAGGCCATTGGGGGCCTGGGGATTTAGCTCAGTGGCACCACAACTGCCTTGCAAACACAAGGTCCTGAGTTCAATCCCAGGTACAAAAAAAAAGGCTATTTGAAAGCTGGGTGTGGTGGTGCATGCCTGTTATCTCAGTACTGGGGAGGCTGAAGTGGGAGGATTGCCTCGAGTTCAAGGCTAGCCTGAACTGCATAGCAAGTCCCTGTCTCAAGAAACAACCAAAAAAAGGTTTTTAGAAAAAAATATATCCCATTCCAAATAAGTTTGGAAATGTGAACTGCATTATCCATGTAATTTTTTAAATAGCTTGCTATGACTCTTTTATTTCAAATTACTATAATTGCTGTTGAGCTTGCATATCTTAAAATTCTGCCTGGATTTATATCAGGGCCATTTGATTATTTGGTTACTGTTCTCAATGACGATTTTAAAGTCACATATTTGTTTTAATTTTCCAACTTACATTATGGTGATAACAGCCAAAGTATAGTCAAAATAAAGGAATTTCTCCATAAAGGTAGATAATGTGAGGGCAATAAGGTCTTTTAAACTTTTTTATTTTCTTGAGACAGGGTCTTGCTTTGTATTCTAGGCTGGCCTTTAACTCACCATGTACCCTAGGCTGGCCTTGAACTCAATGATCCTCCTGCCTCAGCTTCCAAGGGGGATTGCAGTTATATACCACCATGCTCAGCTTGAGAGCAATAAGCTTGATTGCTAAAGCATCATTATTTTTTATAGCTTCAGTAAAAAACAAAATGGTGGCTTTCCAGTAAAGAATAAACTGTACACTATTTTAAACTGTGTGTGAGTCCAATACAAAATGTATCTATGTGTGAAAGTAATAATTAACAAAACATGTATGAGCCAATTCCCATCTGTAGGGTTCCATCACCAGTCTTAAAGCCACTAACTGGTCTTTTGGGTTTGCTAGCTCATTCCCCATCCCTACAGGGTGGTCCGCACTCATGGAGGTGGAATCGTACTCTCTTGGCTAGGCAGTGCCTGTTGATTGCTGCTGGCCCTCATCCTTGCAGTGTTTTCTTGTAGGAAATAATGTTCTCTGTTTCCTGGGGCCTAGCAGCAAGGAAGCAGAAGAGGAGTAAAGCTGATATATAGGTTCCATAGGATGTAGAATGGAGGGAACCATTGAAAAGTCCATATAGAATGTATCTAATCATTCTGTTGGCAGATAACTAACCATGCTTTATCTCATACACATACCCACATGTGCGCACAGGCATACACAGGGATTTGTGTTAGGGCCCATTATTTGATTTGTCTACATAACATCATCATCATCATTATTAGAGTTTTCACACTCTAAGGTAAAATGAATATACGAATCATACATCCTGTCCTGTTATTGAAAGCCCTTCAGTGTTGCATAATTAGAGCATTCTCAAGCAGCTGATTCATTTTGATTTGGAGGTTACCAGTTGTAGAAGTACTAGGGTTTAAACACTCAGCCACTCTATTCAAATTTTGTCCTGATGAAATTTATTTTAAAAAGGCATTTTTAAAGGTCATAAAATAGTTTATATATTGTACTCATCACTTATTGCTTCTAGACAGTAAGTTGGAAAATTCTCTAAGAAAATCATGAAGAAGCAAGGAATCTTGAAAGATCTTTCAAAGAACCCTCATATCATACAGATGAAAAAGCTGAGCCCAAAATAGGCAAAATGAGGATTCCCAGTTATGGTCTCCTCACTTCTAGCTGACACCTCTTTCTAAGCAGTGCCGCTTAGGCTTGATGAGAGGCAGCAGACCAGATGGTTCAGAGCCAGGCACCTGCATTCGCATCCTGACTTTGCTGCTTAATGAAAGCTCTACAGGCAGGTTAACAAACCTGTCTCCTTTGGCTTTAATCTTCTCATCTTTAGGTAAAACAGTAGCAGATAATGATGAATAATTGATGTAGTAGTGCCTACTTAGTAAACTTACAAGGATTAAATGTGCTAAAATATGCACAGCACAGTATGAGCACCCAGCATGTGAATGTTAATTATTATTATCTTCCATAAGTATCTCCAAGCACTGTTTCAGGAAAAATCAGCATATGTTTGCTTTAAAACAGGAGTCTGGTTCTACCTAATGCCTGTGAATGGCTCTGAGGTATCCATAATGAGTAGGCCTTGGAGGATTTACTGAGGACCAACCCCATCACACCAACCTCTTTCTGCCTTCAGTGGTGTTGCTGGACTCTGAATCGGGAAGGGCTGCATTTGAAAAGACTCCAGCTTGGCTTCTGACAGAGCTTTGGAGATAGCTTTGTCAGGGACATGCCAGTGATAGAAGACAGATAGGGGAGTGAATTTGTAACTGATTAAGCAACTGCACATAAATGTGCAGGTACATGGATCAAAGTCAGCTCGATTGGGGATATTCCCTTTAGGTAAAGTTCTCAAGCACAGGCCAGGCCTGCATATGTATCAGTGACTTAAGTAGAGCTACTGAAGACCTGTAGTAACTGCAGGTAGGTGCAGAGCAGATATGTGAAATAGAAGTATTAAATTTGTAGTAAAGCTGACTGCTAAAGTTCCTTCTAAATCTGGTAAGTTTTCAAAACTACTTGAACAATTGAATAGGACTACCATTAAGGTAAGGTTGAATTTTGGAACACACACAAAAAAACATTTATAAAAGTATAGAGCTAGCTCGGTAGGGCCTACATCTTTCTGTCCCTGGGATGTCCCAGAACATCTGGCAGCACTCAGAAGGAAGATGGTTATGACATCAGGCCAACAGGAATGTCTCTAAATAACACAGGGGAGATGAAACATGGACAGTGCCTCCCTTCATTCTGTGCAGATTTCTTAGAAATAAATAAATCACCTCAATAGCCAGTCTTCTTTTATACAGTAAATGGACCTAGCCAGCTAAGCAAGAGAGTAGCTGTGCCCCAGTGACCACATTGACACTGCTCTAAAACATGCACCTGCTTCCTGCCGTGAGTTTCTTTTATGTCCTTGGGGCTACAGTATCTGTACTGGAACTCCTCCAGGAGAAACAGTAATACAGCTTTTATCTCTGTTATTTCTGACCTGCTGTGATGTCAGCTGACCGGGTTGGATTAATTTTTAATAGAGATATGTGTCATTATTATGTCCAGAGCTCTTTGTGACAAGACACATGACTAAAACCAAAATCACTGTATCCAAAGAATTCTGGTCTAGATGTGAAAATGCACTTATATGGTGACTTACAGTGAAAATCCAATTTGAAGTCTTTTCTGTTTTGCTTTTGAGTAATTTTCCTGTAGCATCTCTGTTTCATTGCTGTAGAGTTACTGTTGAAAATGTAAAATATTCCCCAATGAACAATTGGGAAAGGTCAGTGAGTGCACTCAAAGCTGGCTTTCCAAGCAGGGAGTGTGCCATGCTGTTCTTAATTTAGATCTTACCTCATTGTTCTAGTTGAGTGCCAACTATCAAAACATGAGACTGCCTTGGATTTTTACAACATTTCAAACAAAAATATGAGAATAGTTGGTTTTATTGATTTTTAGTTACATTGAACTATGTGTTATGTGTCATTTTATAGCTTCTTTGAATAGAAATCCTTAAATTTTAAGTCTCTAGAATAATAGGACAGGGGAAGAAAAGGAGAGAAGTCATGTAACCATTTCATGTTGCATAGGTAGGAAACTTCTGTTCTACGTACAGACTAGTGATGAAACCTTACTTTTGATTTTGTTAAAGTTGAAATTTACAATGGTTTTATATTTCCCATTTTAAAATAAGTGAATACATTCACCTACCCATAGGACTATTATTTCTTCAACTGTATTTCCCATATACCACTGGCAACACTGGGAAAATGACTAGTTAGGTGACCAGTCAAGAATAGAGCTCCATCTGGGCATCGTGTACTCACCTGTAATCCCAGCACTTAGGAGGCTGAGGCAGAAGGATCGTGGTGAGTTCAAGGCCAGCCTGGACTACACAGTGAGACCCTGACTCAGAAATGAAAAAGAGACAGAGAGAGAGAAAGAGAGAGAGAGAGGGAGGGAGGGAGGGAGGGAGGGAGAGGGAGAATAGAGCCATACAATATAGCTGTAACAAACAAGAAAATTTAAAAATGACCCTGTGTTAGCCACTGTGTGTCAAATAGTCATTCAATTCCATTATTCATATTTTATAGTGAATTCAATTGATCTTTTATTGGGGACATGTTTGGCTAATACCTTTTTGCAAAATGTTTCATACACAGAGACTACATTGTTGAAACCTTTAAGATTAGTAACCTTTTTAAAAGAGATTCTGCTAGATTCAGATAAATTAAAGGCTTTAGGAAGCTAAGGTAATACCTTTCAAACAGTTTTTTTTAAGTAGAAATGTCAAACTAAGCAGCACAGCCATGTGCCAGTATCAACATGAGGCTTTGTTTGGCCAAAGGCCTCTACCCTACCAAACTCCTTGCCCTTCCCCAGGTGTTTTGCTCCTCTGCCGTTCAGTGGAGAGGTTGTTGCCAGTGCATTGCAGTTCAGGCCATCTTAACCCTTTCCTTGTCCTCACCTGGATGGTTTTAGTCCTGCTATAAAGTTGTTGCTGTCTTATAAAATAGAAGGTGCACTCTGGTCAGTGTAACAGGTCTTTTTTCTGCAATTTAACACGAATTTATTTTTCTCTTGTGGTTACTTCCACTCACCCTCCCTAACCTCACCTCTCTATGTGTCACCCTTTTGTGTTGGCACATCTGAGCTGCTCACGTCTGAGCCCTACGACTTAGCACGTGTAGGCTGCCAGCATTGGTATAAAGTAAACGACAAGGGCCCCTCTTGTTCACCCCAGCCTTCTCCAAGTGCAGCCACCAACATAGTCCCTTCTTGTTGAGTCTCAGCAGATAAGACGCATCTGTCTTAAATAGCTCCTTGCATTTTTCAAAATATTTATATTATCTGTGTCCCTAGAGAAGTTGGATCTCTAAATGTTGAGAACCTATGGACTTCATCCCATATGAAGTCAGTTTTTTAGACATCAATGTGCTTATCTTCCCCATTATACCCTGAGTTCTTAAGAAATCTCAGGCCACCATCACGTTATGAAGCCCTAGGACATTCTGATTGGAAGCACCAACCTAGGAGTCAGAAGACTCAGTTTCTAGACCTAGCTCTGACCACTGATGAAGTGTTTCCTCTCACTTCTTTGGGTTTCCAGTTTCCTGTCACCTGCTGGGTTGATCAGTGGTTCTCAAACCTGGCTGTATGTTATAGTCATTTGGACAACCTTTTTCGAGTTCGTGTGTGTGTGTGTGTGTGTGTGTGTGTTCACGCATGTGTGTGTGTTTGTATGTATGTGGTTAAGTTTCACCATATGACTATAATGAGCAAGGTTGAGAAATCACAAGACTGCATTATCAATGAAATTACACTGGCTGTACTTTATGATTGTAATATGGTCTTTTTAAATAAAAAGCTGACTGTGTACTTAAGATAATTGTATGCATTTTATAGTTTCATGCTGAAGGAGCTACTGTTCATGATTCAACATCTAGGAATCCAGAATTTAAGATACTGGGCAAATTCCAGCCTTATATAAATGACTAATCCACAGCTGAATCTAAAGCATAACTTTTTTAGTGCAAATATTACAAATAAATACTGTTCATCACCTGAAATCTTTAAAATCTTTTACATAGGATTTTTTTGGGGGTAACCAGGGATTGAACTCAGGACCTTGTGCTTGCGAGGCAGATGCTGTGCCACTGAGCTAAATCCCCAGCCCAAGATCAGATTTTTTTAATAAGGGAAAGAATAAATTGAGACAAGTCTCGTAGAAGATAGAAAAAAAGTCACCCTCTTCCCAAAATGACAGTCCAGGATTTTGTGCTAAATGTAGTTTTTTTCTTACAGATTGTCTAGATATAATTTGTACAGCTTTGTCCTCTGTAGGGTGTTTTTTCCTATTTTGAATAATTTATGTGTGCTTCTCCCTTTAACTGTAGTCTTGAGCAGCTCCTAAGTTTAAGCGAAAAGCATGAACCAGACCAGTGTTAATCCCACACACTAAGCAGAAGCACACCAAACAGCTTACTTTCAAACGACCTAACTGGAAGTTGTAAACCCTCCATCAGCGGGTTCTCACTAGACGAACTTGAACCTGTGGCTATGTCACTGGAGGATGGATAGCCATGGTGCCGAGTGCCTCCCTCCCTGATGCACTTGCGTTTCTTGTTCATAATGTCCTCACAGGGAAGGGTTTTCATCACTGACCTGCCAGGGAGGCTGAGATATCCCATTGTCCTGTTGTGCCCAGCCTGCTCCTCAGAGCATCCTTTGCAGATTCTTTTGAAAGCAAGTGAAAACAGACATAAAAAGTAGATGATGGACAGGTGTGGGGTCACACCCTTGTAATCCTAGCACACAGGAAGCCTGCGGCAAGAGGATCACAAGCTCAAACCCAGCCTGGGCAACTTGGCAAGACTCTGTCTCAAAATAAAAAACAAGGGCTAGGGATGTACTTCAGGGCAAAGGTCCTGGGTTTAATCTCCAGTACTGCTAGTAGCAGTAATAATAATAAAATAATAATAGATGGTGATTGTCAGATGTAGTGGTGATTTTGGTTAGATCTAAAAGAGGACTCATTCAGTGGGCCCCTTCTTACAGCCTTCAGGAGATCTTGGGAACAGTCGTCCTTGCCAGAACTCTTCTTGATCTCTCTCTGACCACCATTATTTTACAGAGCCCATCCCCACCCTCTCCTCCTGGCAGCGGGAGGACACGGACTCTGATGAGGCCCGCCTCTCCCCCAAGCCTGGGTGCCTGATTCGCCAGCTTCTCGAGGAGGACAGTGACCCCATGCTCTCTCCTCGATTCTATGCCTATGGGCAGAGTCGACAGTACCTGGACGACACAGAAGTGCCTCCTTCTCCCCCCAATTCCCACTCTTTCATGAGGTACGTTTTTCTGTGCTGCTGGTGGCTGGCAGTTTTCTGAACATTAGGTCACAAATACGTGGAGGAACCACAGCTGAACTGTGGCCCTTTGTTGTTTATAAATGTGAGCAAGAGGAAGTTAAACCCACTTATAGGTGGGACATTCGGAGCTTTGACTTGCAGTGAGTCAGTCAGCTTCTCATTCAAGAGAATGAGGCCGTCAAGCCTGCCTCTGACCTCTGCACCTGTGGCATCCCATATCCCCAGTGCCCTCCCTGTTGTGGCTCTGGAGGGGACTGACCCAAGTTGTGTCCCTCACAGGCGGCGAAGCTCCTCGCTGGGGTCCTATGAGGATGAGCAAGAGGACCTGACACCTGCCCAACTCACACGAAGAATCCAGAGCCTTAAAAAGAAGATCAGAAAGTTCGAGGACAGATTTGAAGAAGAGAGGAAGTACCGAGTGAGTGTCCCATGTGTCCCCTTTATCTCCTGTCCCCAACATGCCCGCCTGTCAGCAACTCAGAAGCGATACAAGTTAAAGGGGCTGTCTAGGGAATCTCGAAACAAAAGATAACAAACATCAGATAGTAAAACCTGATAAATCCCAACCACCATGTATGCAAGTTTTCTTACATTGTCATAGCCAAATAAAATATTGAAAGCTTAAGTCTACATTTTATAAATTTATCAATAAGCAGGAATGAGAAAGACCAAATAAAATCCTTTTGCTAAAACGTAAATCAGGATTATCTTCTCAGCTTGGTCAGTGCTGGACACACACGTCCAAGACCCACTCTGTCCTCAGTGTGTCCCACAAGGGTGGTAGTGAGGCATTTCTCACCTGGCTGCCGAACAGACCCAGCAGACACCTGTGTTCTGTTGCCTCAGCCTTGCCCCTAACACAAAGAGAGCCTCGGAGCCCACAGGAGCCCCTGATCATAAGGGCCCCAGAAATAACCAGCTATGACAAATCATGATGGAATATTATGAATTTGCCCTGACTAATCATAGCTAATTTATTATGCTGATGGATTCAACTTTTCCTTCCTATGTGAAATAAAAATGATCGTCCGTGTGCTTCTTTTTACTGGCCCTACAGAAACATTTACTCTGAACTTCCCTTTCTCAGCCTTCCCATAGTGACAAAGCGGCCAATCCAGAGGTTCTCAAGTGGACAAACGACCTTGCCAAATTTCGGAAACAGCTTAAAGGTAGGTGAAGATCAGAACCTGTGGCAGGGCCTCTGTGCAGCCAGGGGCCGAGTGCCCTGTCGGGTAATCCAGGACTGCAGGTGCTCTTCAGGAAGACCTCCGTCTTCCCGTGGTCTCAGTCCCAGGTCACCAGATCAGCTAAGAGGCAAATTCTGCAGCACTTCTGCATCTTCCCAAGTCAATGATAGGGGCGTGACAGTTTCAAGCCAGTGCTTTGTAAGCACCTGTTTAATCCAGGGCTTCGTGTGCTGTGGTGTTAGGAGAAGACATGTAGACACAGAGATGCATCTGAAAAGGGTTTGGCCACTTTCCCTCTAATACCTTGCTCTCATTTAGGAGACAGTATTAAAAGCAAATGAAAGTTAAATAACGTGAAAATGTGGTATAGAAGTTATGCAGAAATTGGACAGTGGAGCATTAGATCTGTAGACATCTTTACACCCCAAAGGTAGGACTACACGAAGGTGTCTGCCCGTTGTGTTAATGGCTAAAACTTTCTCAGGAATTAGGGTTTGGGAAACATTCCAGATAATCCAGGAAGACATTATCATTATTTTGGGTTTTACATAATGACTCAAGGATTTCAACTGATATTATAATTAGATGCTCTGAAAAAACAGACGTAGCTCAGCAGTTATTGACATCACAGAAAAATAACTTGAGTTCAGCAGACACTTCTCATACATCCCTACCTCCAATCTTCTCACCTAGAGTCAAAACTGAAGATATCTGAAGAGGACTTAACCCCCAGGATGCGGCAGCGAAGTAACACACTCCCCAAGAGTTTTGGTTCCCAACTGGAAAAAGAAGATGAGAAGAAACAGGAGCTGGTAGACAAAGCACTCAAGCCCAGCGTTGAAGTTACCCTGGAATCTATCCAGAGGAAGCTGCAGGAGAAGCGAGCAGAAAGCAGCCGCCCCGAGGACATTAAGGTGTGGTGGCCCTGAGGAGGCCCCAGGGAACAGCTGACCCTGAGCCTGGCAGCCAGCAGGGAGGTGAAGCACAGGGCCTGCCCCAGGGGTTCCTGAGGGAAGGACACCCCTGTAGACCTCCCACAGATCTAGATGCAGACGAAACTACTGTTTATCTGTGGGTACTTTGGTTTTTGACTACAGACTGAAAACAGACAACTCTATAGATTGCAGAATGAACCCAATGAGGCTAAAGGACAGTGTGATGACTGAAGTAGGATTTCGGACAAACCCCTAGGCCTGTATAGCCCGTAACTACGCATCACTCTGGTGGTTGACCTAAGCCCCAAGTACCTTGGAGCCCTGCTTTCCTCCGTGGTGAGCATGCCTTCACCGCAGTGTGGGAGATCAGGCAACCATGAGATTCCGCCTTGCTGTTCACGTTGCTGGCAAGAGGTCAGAAATGGCTCATTCCTGAGTGAGCTTTGGACAGAGCCAGGGAGAGCTGCTGTACGAGAGTTCTTTTAACCTTCCTCAGTGGTAGATTGGATTGTTCGTGAATGTTTTCCCCCCTTTCTTTTCTTATCCCTGTGTTTATACAGGATATGACCAAAGACCAGATCGCTAATGAGAAAGTGGCTCTGCAAAAAGCCCTGCTGTATTATGAAAGCATTCATGGACGGCCGGTATGTGGGGCTGAATTTTCTGACTGGGGTCAATAATCTGGCTTTGGAAATAGATTTTCTCTGTCTGGTATCTTATCAATAGGGTTTCCTCAGGTTTTCTTTCTTTACAATTAGTTAAAGGAGGTTTATTGTGTATCACATTGCATTGAAGCTTCTTGAAAAGTTGGCCACTAAGAAGTTTTCTGTTATCTAGTAGACACTGAACTTAAAGTTGCAAAGAAAATCCATTTGCAACTAAAATTGGAGTCCTCTTCAAGGTGGGAAAAGATGGAGAGCAGGAAGAGAGAGTGTGGAGTACATAGAGGCCTAGAGCAGGAGACTTCCCTGTACCATGGCCTGTCATCAGCTGTAGCCTTTCTCATCCCATAAAGTGAGGGGTTAAGCGAGAAACTCAGTCTTCCTGCAGTGCAGCTGCAACCAGTGTTTGTCTCTGAAGAAGCACCAGCTGCTTTCAGAACCAAAAGTGTGAGGCATCCAGAATATGTCCCCGCCTTTCTGAGGTCGTTTGTTATTCAGCAAGGTTTACTGAATGCTTGTTGTTAGCTGTAGGGGAGACAATAGAGTGATGGACTCCTGCTCTCTTCCTTGAAGAACTTGTAATCAGATACCCTTTTTTCAGCTACTCTTCACCTTCTGTTCACAAAATAAATTCTTAAAAGCAGGTAGAAGGAGGGCTGGGGGTTTAGCTCAGTGGTTCCACCGCCTGTCCAGCAAGCGCAAGGATCCAAGTTTGATCCCTGGTACCAAAAAAAAAAAAAAAAAAGCAGGTAGAAGGAAACATACAGTTTAGGTCACAGATAGATTTTTATATAGCCAAAAAGCATAGGCCTCTTTTCTAGTCTTCTCCATAACTGTATAATGGATATAGTCCTGTCATCTAAAATATATTCTGCTATATAAAGAAGCCTCCAGAATGCTTTACTGGTTTCCTAGGTTTTTTTTAAACACTGAGCTGCATCCTCAGCTACTAGTGTTGAGGTCACTCATGCTCTGGCATTGTGGTAGTGCGGAACCCAGTCCTCAGCATCTGCATAAGACCTGACACATAGCACATGCCTAGTATCAATCTGCAGAATGTATCTGCCGTTGAATTTTGGTTCAGAATATATCAGGTTTAATTTTTTTAAATGCTAGCACTGATGATGATTGATTTTGCTGGCCTGTCCCTGCAGTGGAAAAATACTAGCACTGGGATAATTCTCACATTTTAGCCAAGTTTTGTTTCAGATTTTTTAGAGGCATTGAACTAAGTAATAAGTGGTCTAGAGCTCAAATGTATTGTGAAACTTCGTCCTCCTTGCAGAGGTTCGTCTGTGGACAGACAGGACCCGTGTTCCTGTGGAGGCTCATAACTCCAAGTGTGGACCTCATGGCCACCAGGCAGGCTCCAGTGAAGCTGTGTGTTCCTTCCTGTTTCTTTTTTTCCTTCTGTGGGTTCAGACTGTGACACTGACAGACTCTCTCAAGGACTCCTAATCTAAGGCTCCAAGAGTGCACAGCTGCATGCTGGGTAGACTTAATCATGCTGCTAGTTCACCATGTATTATTTGTTGCTCCTAGCTAGGCAGCTTCGCTTGTTCCACCTGGCCTGAGGCCATGTGCAGACAGCACACGTGTTATAGTCACAGACTAGACAAGGAACTCTGGGGAGGTTAAGTGACCTCTTGGACCCTCGGTGCTTTGTTTAGAGAATGGACCTCTGCTGTGGGTTGTCAAGGAAGTGAAGTGATATGTGCATATACTTACCTGCAGCTTGTCTGGCCCTGAGGAAGTAGGTAGCCTGCCATTGCGGGTTGCACAGTAAATGATAGTTTTCACTTCTGGTGCAATTATATGTTCTCTCTGTGGCCTACTTCTGATTAAATGATGAAATCAGAGAAAGAAGGCACCTTCCCTTTTTTACCCCCTTATCATCATGAATATGAAACATTAGCCCATGGCCCTGCCTTATTTCCTTTTCTTTCATCATTCTTTCAGACAGGTCCAGATCCTAGCATCTTACAGGGCAGGGAACAAATGCTTTAAGAAATCTGAGTGTCATTTGTTTCTGGCCCCAGGCCAGACACTCTGCCTCTCTCTGGAATATGATGCTCCAACCTCCTAAGGAAAAACAGAATTCATTTGACATCTGGCCAGTCTGCCAACCAGAGTGAACTTTTAATTTCTAGACCTATGGTGTTACCGTGGGACCCTGAACTATAAATACCATTTGGATGATACTCTTCTTAGATGAAAAAATACTTGTATTTCCAGAGCTAAACTATCATTCCAAGCCCTAGTTTTTCAGAAAAGTGCTCAGAACTTTTTTTCCCTAAATCTACAGATTTTTATTTGAAAGGATATTAACTATCAGAATCACAGGCCAAAACAGTTATTTTGTTGTTTCTATTTTTTAAGCAAAGCTGTTTGTTTTAACAAGGCATGTCTTTAACAAGACACCATTCCCTACTGATAATTAACATGTGTCCTTTTAAACATGTAAGGATCTCATGAAGTACTGTGTCATAGGAGAAGGATAACAATAGCAGCCCACCATATTACCTTCGGCATACACAGCTCTCTGACACTAAATATGCAGGAGGAAAGAACAGGCTGCTTGATCAGACCTTGTGGGTTCTTCTTGAGTCTTCTCATTGGTGTATTTTAATCCCATTTCCAAACCATGGTGACTAACACAGCAGTAAACATAGTAAGGTTTACATTTAAATGCAAATTATAGACCTGTGTGTAAATACTGTCCTTTGGTTAGCTGCTGTTTGGGATTTTCTGATCTTTTCACAGACCACCTACTAATATTACTAATATTACTAATATTACCCTGTAATGAAAGAGTTGTGATTTTCCAAATTAATGGGCCAAGAATAAAACAGTTATAAGAACCTGTCTCCTTTTGTCTTCTGGCCATTCTGTGACTCACAGGTAGCTCTCCACACACAAATCCAAACCACTTTTTGTTTTACTGAGATTTTGAGGCACTTAGTTCTTTGTCTAGTGAAGCATAATTTCTTGCAAAAGTATGTTTTTATACCACTGCTTGTAAGCAGAGATCTCTGTAAAGTCCACACAGAGTTGTCAGTTTAGAGGGCAGAGTTCTTTTACTGAAAGGACAGTGTGCCCAAGCCCTCTTGGACAGTAACACTGCATGATCACACTTTCTCCCATCTCCATATTTGTGAATGGAAAGAAAACTGGACTTGGAGTCACTGTTTTCTTGACTCAGCAGAATTGCTTTGGGCAAATCATTGCCCTCTTCATTGTTTAGTTTTATCACTCATCTAGCTCTAAGATTCCACGGTTCTACTTTTCAGAGTTAATATGTCAGTCATTTACCATTCACCTTTGGAGTCTATCAAAGTAACTGCAGCCAAATTGATGTATGGAAGTTATATTTGAGGCAGAGAGAAAACATCACGAAAGCAGCTGTGTGATCAATGCTTTATGATTTCTATTCAAGACTTGCCACTCATTCAATGTGGGTAATTATTGGCTAATGTCCTCTTTGTGTTTTGAAATATTATCTGAATCTTACAGAGTAACCAAAAAGAGGGTGGTATGTGAGCTGTAGAAAACACTTAAATCACAAGAAAAGACAGAGTGGACTTCCTGCTTCTCTCATAAGATCTTCTTATGTAGACATTTATGTTGTTTTGATCTGTGTGCAAAAATACATCTTAATACCCAATTTTCCACACATTGGAAAACCATTCAGCACTCCCATTTAAATGAAAACTAAAGTTTTGAAAGAGAAGTGAAAGGATTTTAAAGATAGTATGCTATATGTTTGGCCTTTCCAGAGGGTACCAGTCAGGAAAGTGAGGCTTAGGGAATGTCCGTCACATTTGTTTGTTATGTGCTTGAGAGCAGAGTGACAGTCATAGGTCTGACCTCATTAGACACTGCAAACAGTTTTTCAGTCTCCACCCTTCCTGTGTGGGGTGGTCCTGCTGTTCAGCCTTCTCCCAGAACTTGACACTGTCTTTCTGTGGAAGCCTTGGGTAGGTGGCCGGTAGTAACACCTTAGTTTGATTCTTGGCCTTTTTCATATGAAATCATTTATAAGTTCTCTTATAGTTTTGTCAATCTTTTTTTTTTTTCTTTAGACAGGGTCTTGCATTGTGTAGTGCAGGCTGGCCTTGAACTCACTATGTAGCCTAGGCTGGCACTGAACTTAAGGCAGTCCTCCTGCCTCAGCCTCACAAGTGCTGGATTACAGGCATGCACCACCATGCCTAGATTTGTCAGTCATTTTTTATGAAATGACCAATTTTATAAGCCCATTTCCTATGGTGAATGGGCAATTCAAGGACAAGCCAAGCACTTTTTAAAATTGTGATAATGAAAGCAACAGAAATAACATTATTATTATTATTATTATTGCCAATGATAGAAAATCGACAAAATGTTTTACAGAGTAGCAGTATCCAATCTTAACTTGTGAAGTTTATCCAAAGTGCACTTACCATTGATCACTTTGAGAAATGCGAGCACAAAAGGCAACAAAGGATAATCTTTTATGAATAATCCCTTAGAATAATAGTAATGAATAATCCTTTATGAATAACTCTGAAGTTGAAGGACCAAAAGACCCACAAAGAAATGGTCAAAGCTGACTGCTCCTTGTCCTCTTGCTTTATCACACCTGCAGGGGCGATAGAATGTGGATGACACACCACTGATTTGACAGAAATTTACCCCACCCCATTCCCCATTGAAGAAAACGCGTTTGCAAACCCAGTATGCATACCTGTCTAGCTCTGAAATATTCATCCTCTTATCTGTAAATGTTTGTGGAACAGTTTCATTATATCAGGCACTGAAGTTACTACGGTTACAAAAACAAACTCCTGCTCTCAGGGGACCATAGGCTAAAGGAGGAGACAGGTGAACAGTTAGGATCCAGTACAAAGTGTTTGTGTAATACAGGGCACATGCAGGGCAGGGTGGTGCCATGAAGGACAGGGTGTCATCCAGAATGGGTGTGTTGGAAGATGCCTGCACAGGAAGGTGGTACTAGACATGGAAATTTGCCAAACAGGAGCAGAGGGGAAGAACTTCCAGGCAGAACTCTGGGCCAAATCTTAGGGAAACAAGGATGAATCATCTATGTGTTCTGTCAGCAGATGTTCCTTGAATGCCTATTTGCCAGAACCTTCTTTCTAAAAACACAGTTTCATGGGGGAGCGAGACATGTAAACAAATTGACTTCAGGGCCTCATGATAAGCATTATAATGGACATATATGCTTTCTCCTCCCTGGTGCCCAGGAAGTAGTAAGTCACCTGGAAACTTAAGAATGATCAGTTTTGATTTATATAAAGCAATACTACCAATGGAGTGATTTCCACTGATCTGCAGCTGAAGTAGGTATTTTAAATATTTACTGAATAAATAATAGTGTCAGTTTAAATATATCTTCTAAGAATGGTAAAACTTAAATTGCATGGTCTGTTTTTCTCTAGGACTACAAGAGGGGCCTAGAATATATTTGGACAGCTGGTAGCATGACCTGGGTGGAGCCTTCTGAGCAGTCTTGTTCTTGTTTTTCAGGTGACAAAGACTGAGCGTCAGGTTATGAAGCCACTGTACGACAGATACCGGCTGGTCAAACAGATCCTGTCCCGGGTCAACACCATACCCATCATTGTGAGTGCAGTACCCTTGGGGGTGAATGATGGGTTTATCACCCCTCACTTGCTCTCTCAGCCTCAATAGTTGAGCCAGCCCTAAATATCCATGGCCCACAAGTTTAAAAAATGAAGACTTTTGTCAAAGACTTCTGAGGTTTGTGCCAATATGAGCCAAAAATGAGCAAGTCTGAAGCTGGTGGGGTCCCCCTTTTAGGAGATGACTTTGGCTGTACACATCCACCGGGCATGGGCCAGGCCAGCTCCCTGGTCCTTTGCTCAGCAAGAGCACAGGACAGGGGCTGTGCCTTCTACAGCCTCTTCACTCTGAAGCATGCCTCTCTGGTCCCAAGGGCCTTCCCTCTGTTGACAGTCTCCCCACCCACAACAGGAGTCAGATCCAGGGAGAATCTTCTAGGGAAGTCCAGAGAGGTTGCTCCTTTTCGTGGCTGCAGGGGACATAGAGAGTGGAAGGCTAGAGGGAGAGGTTAATGGTTTGAAGTTGTCTTTCCTGGCCAGCACTCTGGGATTAGCTGCTTCAGGCCCCTGGATCTTGCCCTTATCAGTATCAGGCCCTTATCTTGCCTCCAGCCATAGGTACCTTTCGGCAAGAGTTTGCATCTCGACTGCTGAGTGGCATGTCCTGCCCTGTCCATCGCTGCTAGAACACTGCCTGGTTCAGTGCCTTGCTCCCTTCTGCTTTCCTAAAAACCAGCTCTGCTATCTCTATTGAGATGCACAGATGTGTTCTCCAGCCCTTCCTTAAATCCCCTTATTTACTCCCAGGCCTAGGATGGGCTGTTTAAATCTGCTTTAACAGTATACTTGTTTTTAATGAATGAGAGGAGCCAGAGACTTCAGGCATGTGTTTTGAAGAACGCTACTATTCTAGAAATTTCCTATAGGATAAATTAAACTAATAAACTAATAAAGGACTAAATGTAAAGAATCATTTTCTTTTTCCAGTTGGGAACCCTTGGGTCCCTAAACAGGGTGATGTACAAGAGAGAAGTTAGATAACCTTTGAGTGGCTTTGTGAGCTCCAGTTACTCTCCTATGCTGGTTATCTTTAATGTCCTTACAGTTTCTGTGACTGGGGAGGAGGAGGAGGGAAGCAATTGTTTCCCTAAGCTTTCCTGAGTGTGTGGTTAATAGGGTCTCCTGCCATTATTGTTCCTGCTTGATGTGTGTGGGCCCAGAAGGGAAGGGGCAACTTGAACTTTGGTTGTCTTACGTTTTTCTGGGAGCCTTTTAACCCAGATGGTTAAAAGATGGTAATAAATACTGGGATGGGCAGAGGAGGCTGAGGTGCCTGATGTAACCTACGTGTTAACACCTATCACAGGGGTCCCCCTCCAGCAAGCGGAGAAGCCCGTTGCTGCAGCCAATTATTGAGGGTGAAACGGCTTCCTTCTTCAAGGAGATAAAGGTGAAGACCTCCCGTTAACTCACTGCTAACCTGATCCTTGCCCCACCCTGCCCTCCTTGTGGGAAGGGCGCAAATCTGTGATTTTGCCCTTGGTCACGGCTTCCTGTAGCAGCCCCAACCCTCAGAATGATGCCCTTTTATTAGGGACTCACTGATCTCAGTTTCATCCCCCCTTTATTATTGTTGTGTTTGTTTTGACTTTGCTTTCAGGGATTATTTTGTTTTCCATACTTCTTTTTTTCTTCCTACCTAGGGAATGACTTTCGGTATTCCAAAATGTTAAATTAGCTCATTGGACCGAAACAAATTTGTTTTAAAATCTTACACACTGAATGTTTAGGAAAAACAGAATTAACAAAGGCAATACATATGCATCGGTATCTCAGTTCCTGAACTTAATTTGTTTTACGATTTTGGAAAAGATCCAAATCTTTTTGTTTGTGCGGGAAAGATGGCTGGAGTCCTGTTGGTCATCTGATGCAGTCTGCAAACAAAAGCAATCATGAACCAAGGTGCCACCATAACACAAAAATCCAAAATTATAATTTCACAGTGAGCATCTGGGTTGACTTCGGCAGCTTTGCTGGTATAGTTTCACCCACTCTTCTTCCCCTTGGTCTTTCCCTGGTTTGTTTATTCCTCAGGACCAATTTTATGATCTGTTCTTCCCTGTGGATATGGTGCAGAGACTGGCAATCACTAGAAGGCAGGTCCAGGTTTTCTCCAGTGGTGGTTATGGGTCCTGTACTGATAGCCATCATCACTGGCTGGTGTCACTAGACTGGGAGGAACCAGCGTGCCTCTGTGCGGTCCTCGCTGCCTCCGCTAGCACTGGCCCCTGTTACCTTTCTGCTTCTAGATACCTGAACAAACTATTCTGCTTCATAGGGACTCAAGTGTCTTATATAGGGCTCTAGAAATCAAAGATCAAAGGCAATTATCTTCTAAAAATGTTTATTTTTATCAGTTATTTACATCCATAGAAGGAATTAATCCCAAAGGAAAAGTGAGTTTGTAGAGTTGTCATATTTCTGTGACATTTCAAAGCCTGAGGGGTGGGTACTGTATATAGGAACGATTCTTTCAGAATAATCTTCCCTACTGAGGGACACCAATTGAGAACTTCATTTCCTTGCCCAAGGTAAGTTACCATAAGCTACCAGTTCTTCCATTCCTTCTCTTACCTCTTAAGAAATGACTTTAAGGTATTAATTAGGCAATGACTTTGCTCACCATTCATACTATTTTGTTTGTTTGTTTGTTGTTTTTTTTGGCACCGGGAATCAAACTCAGGACCTTGCACTTGCGAGGCAGGCACCAGAACCATTGAGCTAAATCCCCAGCCCAATAGTATTTTAAATAGAACTTGTTTTATGAAAATGCTCCAAACATGGTATTGGAAAGTCTGAGCCAGTGTGCTATATTGTATCTTAAAAAGTAGAGCTATTGTGTGCCTGGTGTGGTGGTGCACAACTGTAGTCCTAGCAGTCTGGGAGACTAAGGCAGGAAGATTGCAAATTTCAGTCCAGCCTGGGTAATCTAGTAAAACTGTGACTTTAAAGAAATTTTTAAAGGGCATGGGATGTAGCTCAGTGCAAAGGCCCAGGGTTCATTCCCTGAAACTGAAACAAAAACAAAATTATTGGGAATAGGAATGTAGCTCAGTGCTTGTCTAGCATGCATGAGGCCCAGGTTCTAGCCCCAGCACATACACACCAGAAAAACAAAAACAAAACAAACACAAAAAACCCAAGGTATTTTCTTATAATAATCCTTTATGTTGATGAAAGAAGAAAGTTTGGCAGGTAATTTCACACAAGAATTAAAAAGCACAGTTGAAGAGATTATTTGATATCCTAGTGGTACTCTTTTTATAAGACATTCTTCCCATTATTATGTTAGCCTTTTTTTCCCATGAGAGTATTTTGGCCCTGGCTTATTATCTGGGCACATTATGGTCAAAATTTCAGATAATTCTGCAGTGATTACACTGTTTTTGTAAATGGTGCTGTTTCCTGTTTCTTTTTGTTCCAACTGGCCAAGCTCATTACCCTGTGTTTGTGCTTTACTAACTTTTGGCAAGTGGGATACAATTTAAAACTTGCTGTGTGTGTACAGATAAGAAAATTCTAAGAAGTTTCATTAAAACCCATTCCCATTTTTACTGTGTGAGAAACAGAACCAGCACAAATTCTGAAGCCCTCAATTTTCAGGCCTAAGAAACCTGGTCAGTTCTCTCATCCACTGCAGAGACCCGCTCTAAAACCCCTCTGACAGATTTAGGTATTGTCCCCATGAGGGGATCGGGATCCCCTTTACAGTGTGGGGAGGGCAGGCTGCTCACTCCATGGGCTTCAGCAGCTGTAATAGTTAAAAAGTAAAAAATTACAAAGCCCACATGCCCATACTCCCAGCACTCTGGGAGACCAAGGAAGCATTTTTAGAATATGTAAGTGATAAAATATCAAATATCACAGTGAAAACTTAAAATCATCATGTTTATTGTTCTTGGCTGGGTTACACGCTGTCGGACAGGCATGGCTTGGCCCTGTGGTGTAACACAGATGCACTCACCGCTGCTCCTTATGTAGCATGCTTCCAGACCTCAGAGCAGCTCACCTGTGTCCTTCTCAACCGATAACCAGCACCAGTCATCACTGTACAAGGCTTTAGCTGGGACAGTCCCTTCTTTGGTGTGGACAGCAGAGGCACTTTGGCTTCTCCAGGTCCTTTCCGGTGCCGCTGTCAGTGGACTGTGAGTTTATCTTTCGCGCAGCAGGCACCTCGGCCTTGCACAGTTGGCACTAAGCGAGCTAAGTGCTCAGGGTGCTGCCTGTCCTTCGCAGGCTGCTTACTGGCTCCCCTGGCCTCCATCCAACAGGGTGTGACCACTATCCCTTCCTAGTTGCAACAACCAGAAATGTCTCCAGACCTTGCCGGATGTCTCCTAGGGGCAAAAGCACCACAGCAAGAGCCACTGTTTAAGGCCCTGCCTCCTGCCTGGCTCTCACTGTGCCGTGTATTTGTACAGCCCCAGCTTTCTTTTCCGGGAAGCAGTTCCCACCTGTGTATCCAGCCTTGCCTTGCCAAACCTAACCTAATGACGGGACCTTGGACTTTTGCCATTACTTTTTATACCTCTAGTCCAGTTCTGAAACAGATTACTTGTAGCTTCTCTTTAACACACCAGCCCTCCCTGTCCACTTTGTGTTATTGACACATGCGTCTCTGTCCCCATGACTGGGAGATACTGAATAGCAGGGTGAGGTGAGAGTCCCTCCACTTCATGTTACCCTGCAGAAAGGTGGGCAGCCAGCTCTCCTCCTGTGGAGTCTGCTCACCGTGTTGTTGAAGTGCAGCTATCACACCATCCTGTCAAAAAAGGGAAAGCCATTTTTAAGGAGCCAGTGCTAGCGAGCTGATCGAAGATTCTTTCCCAGCCACTCAGACATTATGTATTAATTCCTTCTAGAATCTACTCAATACCTACCACTTACAATTCCATTTAAACATGTTTTTGCTATTTTTCCCTATGATTTTTAGGGTTACCTCAAAACATTGGAGTACTGTTAAGTTCCTTCAGTACTGTGGAATACAACTCAGGAGGCCCAGACACCTGGTTTCATTAATGGTCCCAAGTTCTCTTTTTTTTTTTTTTGGTACTGGGGATCGAACTCAGGTCATTGAGCCTGCATAGCAGGCGGCAAAACCACCAAGCTAAATCCCCGGCCCAAGGTCCCAAGTTCTTATTTGTAACTTATTATCTATTTCAGGCTTTAGTATTCTTGTAATAATTATTTTTAGTCCTCTTTTCAAACCTGAATTACTGAACTGCTTAGCAGACATTTATTGAGCATCTACTATATGCAGGGATTGGCCAGGCTCTGGGGATGGCAGTGGAAAGACCCAAGTCCTTGCCTCCCTTGAGCTTCTAGTCAGGTGGATCTACCTTGTCTTCATCCAGGGAGGGGGAGAGGGCAAGGAAAATGGATGGGCACTAACTGTAGCCACCTGTGCCTAATTACGTATCTGACATAAATTATCTTAATTAATTCTTATAAAAACTATATAGGTAGAAATTGTTACTCCTCCCACAAAAAGAAATTCTTCCTTTAAAAAGTCTGGTTTCTGTCTGGACAATTTAAATTCAAAAACCTATTACTGAGGCATTTCCTTCTATGGTGCAAGAAACAGGATTGAAGGCACAGCTGAGAAGATCAGGAAAAGCCACTCAGTTTTGCCGATTTTACCTTTGTGCCTTTGTAATGGTGCTTTTATTTCAGTTATAACAGACATAGAGGCAGCTAGCTATATGGAATCTGGATGATTAGGTGATCTTTTAAAACACACTCGTAATGAAAGCACATCCAGACACATGACCAGATTTTTACTGGGCTGCTGTCTCTCTCCAGGAGGAAGAGGAAGGGTCAGAAGATGATGGCAGTGCAAAGCCAGACGTCACAGTCACTCTGAAGACAGATTTCAGTGCACGATGCTTTCTGGACCAATTTGAAGATGATGCTGATGGGTTTATTTCCCCAATGGATGACAAAATACCATCAAAATGCAGCCAGGACACGGGGCTTTCAAATCTCCATGCCGCTTCAATGTATGTCATTTTACTAGGGGTGCTGAAATGGTTCAGTAAAAATGGCTTTCATAACCTGAGCGTTTGTATTCAAATAAATGACCGAAAAAACATTAGTAACTTACTTACCTGGGGTGAGGGTGTGTGAAGAAAACGGTGATTTAAAAGAAAAATTTTCTGGTTCAGACTTCGGTGCTTCCGAAGTCTTTTTCAATCTTGCTTAAACACTAGAAGGTCTCTATGAATGGCCCTGTGCTTCTGTACACCACAGCTCATCACCTAACACACACTGAGCATGGATGTCATCCCTTCCTGTTAGAGAAAAATACCACAGAGCACAGTGGCTGAGCATTCACAAAGAGTGGAAGCCCCAGCACCCTATCACTGGCATATTTGGGCTTTCAAGAGAGAAAACACCTACTCCTGCTGACCTTCAGTGCCCGAGACGGTTTATGTGTTCACTTGCTTCTCCCTTTCTCCACAGACCTTACCAAGTTGCATATTCATTACATTCATAACAATTCAGATTTAACTTTAATTTTCTTGAAATTTTTTTCTGCTTCTTAGACCTGAACTCTTGGAACACCTTCAGGAAATGAGGGAAGAAAAGAAAAGGATTCGGAAGAAACTTCGTGACTTTGAAGACAATTTCTTCAGACAGAACGGAAGGTAGTGTATGTTTCCCTGCCTCCACCCCGTCCCCACTCACCGCACACTGCAGCCCTTTGTGTGCTCGGATCTGTGGAATGCCAGTGCAAACTCTTCTGCCCTCCTGTATCCTGGTCCCTGGGCTTGTGTGCAGGGACCCTGAGATGTTGGCGGTGAGACGATGAGATTTGCTTCTTGGATGAGGTCCAAGACCAATGCAGATTCAGCTGGTATTCATAACCCTAACATGTCACATCAGATCCCTGGCCAAAACAAGCAGCCTGGAGCTGAATTTCAAGTTGACAGCACTTTTTTTTTTTTTTTAAGAAACCAGAAGGAGAAATAAGGGAAAAGAGGCTTTAAATCTTCACTGATTTTTAAGCTTGTTTTAAAAATAAAGGGGGGGGATGTGGCTCAGTGGTAGAGTGTTTGCCTGAAATGCATGAGGCCCTGGCTTCCATCACTAGCACCACAAACGAACAGACCAAAAAAAACCCAGATGATAGTTGCCCTGGCAGAATAAAAAAATACAGACGCAGTCTGCAAAGAAGTGGTCTTTCATGTTTACAAGTGACTACGCTGAATGTCTTACTCAGTCACAGCAGGAGCCCGAGGCTAGATCTGCATCTCTTACTTTGGAGTTAGGACTTATCATTTTAAATTGGTTTTATGATAGTCAAATTAAACTAGAGTTTTCCTTGTACATCTTCAAGTTCAGGGAAATAAAAGCACCATAAAAACCAACTTTGGTATTTAAAATGTGTTGGATTACAGCTTAGTTCAATTACTTCTTAAATTTATTTTTAGCATTTCTGATTTGGATCTGTTCTATAATGACTATCTCAATATTTATACATTTTATACCTGTTAGCTTTTCATTTTCCACATGTTGTAAGAGTTCCCCAAATAATAATATCCAAAGATAATCAAGATTAATAATTTGCTGCCCAACCTCTTTCAGGCATATTTTTGGCTTGTCTTTATCTCCTTCAGTTTTCATGTGATTGTTATAGATTATGTATAGTATCCTATATATGAAGAACTATATATAATTAGGTAACATGTACAAGCTTTTTTTTAATGTATAAGTATTGGAATTTAACTTCATCAAAAATTTTTGAACTGGAAGGACCTACAATGTCCTAAGATCTGGCTCCATGTCACATCTGAGGAGAGAGAGTCCCTCAGCATGGTGACTCGGTGACTGGGTGGCTGGTACTCTGATTCCCAGGCCCTGGTCCTTGCTCTCAGCTGAGGGCCACCTGGAATCCTTTCCTAGAACAAGGCAGAGCATGAGTAAAATCAGTTGAGTTTTAGTTTGTTAAACACATTAAACTCCATGCTATTGCTACTTGCCCACAGATGCTCTGTAATAAAAAGGAAGCTCTGGTGCTGAGGACTGTGTGCGTTTCCCAGTGAAGCAGCAGCACTGTGCCCTCTCTGGTGTCATCATGTGTCTAGAGTGTGACTGTAACATCCTCGCACCTAGCTGCTGTTGGGTACGTTAGATCATGGGTATGAAGTACTTAGTACAGTGTTTGACCCCTAACAAGCTCTAAATACTTGGTATATAAAAATTTGCGTGCAAAATTGGACATTTAACTATAAAGGCTGATTAGTATGTGATACAACTGCTAAATTCCAAGAGCAATTTTATAAGTGGCAATATTAACTATCTGTTCTTGACAAACCCGTCAGCTGTGTGTGCCAACTGATAATTAGAAATTTAATGGTTTATTAGGTGAAATATGTAAAAATGAGAAAGCTTCAAGTACAAATAAGGGGTTCAGTTCATATGAATGCTTAACATGAAATCATACTTAAGAGAATTTCTTCATTTCTTAGGCCTTCTATAAGATGCTAGGTTAACTATTAACTCAGGCTTGTGGTGCCTTCAGGGGAAAACTTCCACTGCTGTCTAAATCCAGTCCTATCTTGGCGTCAGGCGACACTTGTCCATGCTGACTCTACAGGTTGATGAACTCCAGTCTCCATATGATGAACAGTATCATGTAGGAGAAACAGGAAATAGTCTTCAGTCCCCTTTTCCTTTGTTTCCATTAGAAATGTCCAGAAGGAAGACCGCACTCCAATGACTGAAGAATACAATGAATACAAGCACATAAAAGCGAAGCTGAGGCTCTTGGAGGTGCTCATCAGCAAGAGAGACACTGACTCCAAGTCCATGTAAGGGCCAGCCCAGCCTGGCAAGGGACTGTCAGGTATAGAGAGGATTTACTGTTCTCCCGGTAAAGAGCAGCTCTGGAAGGTAGCCTTGGAGCTAGCCGTGCCCAGCATGCAGCCCTTCTGCCTCCAACCCCATTTCCATCGCCCGCCTTAGAAACTGCTTACCCAGAAGAAGTGTGACCTGACTGCAGAATTTCATAATGGGAAAGCCAAGATTGCTGCACACATGCACACTCACTGTAACAGGAGCTTCACTAACACTAGCAGTGATGAGTCACTACATTAGACACACTCATCCAGAGAATATGTCCTGTTCTTCCCTGGATAACTGAGAAACATGAGACCATTCTTGGTCTGTGATGAAAACAAGCTCAGGACCTTACTCTGCAGAGCGAACTTGCAATTGAGGGCCATGCTCTCCCTGGACCCCATTGTGACCATGCATTGGAGCCCTATTTGCTGCTTTGGCCATTCTAGTGTCCTTTCCACAGAGCTGCGCCTCCTCCACGCATCTGAGCAGATTTCCCCTTCACCTCTCAGGTATATGGAAGCTGCTGCTGCCCACAATGGCAGTGCAACCATCTATTTGAGAGTGTGTTTCTTCAGGACTTCCTGAGCTGACAAAGTGCTTCAATCCCCAATGAGGACGGGATAATCTGCAGAGGACAGAGGGATTGCAGCAGCAGCCATATCAGTGCTGATTTTAAAAGCAGGTAACAGGTGAAGAGCCTGCAGACTGTTTCCTGAACAGTAACTGCACTTTAGCAGTCTCCGATTTTAACATCCAACACTAAATAAGGCCAGCATGCCTATATGATAGCTTGTTTGGTTTTGGCCCTAGCCAAACATCAAGTCTTAATTCTAAGCTTAAACGCTGTGGATCATGGGAGAGGAAGCCTGGGTCTTCAGCCTCCTGAATACTTAACCAGATTTTAATTTTTTAAAAAAATAAATCTGCACTAAAATCCCCAGATAGGTAACTGTAGGCCTCAGAGCTATAAGCAGAATCTTGTAGCTCAAGGCAGAATCTAAGTCAAACTATTTTCAAGATCATATATAGAAAGAAAAAAACAATGGTATGTGGCCAATTTTAATTCTAATTTTTTCAAAGACTGTTACAAAGCTGTCTATATTAGACATTTTGGAGGGACCAGGGAATTTAAGACAACAAATCATTTATCTTTTCGGTGTGCTTGATGTCATCTTGTGATTTGTTCTTCACCTTCTGTGTCTGCCCTGAGGAAAGTGGGGTCGGGTCTGCCTTTGTTTTTGAGGCAGAGCCCAGCATGGCTGGTGGACAAGACAGTGCCCAGCAGGCTGCACCTCTTGAAGACAATGTTGTGGGATGGACAGGACAGCAGGGATGCCCTCCTCTGTTGGAAAGTTGACTTCCTAAAGGGTACAGTTTTAATAAAAAGAAAAGGAAGAGTGTAAAACTGTACTGACCTTGTCAGTTGTAAAACTGGGTCTTGAGAAACACCTGGTGGACTGGATACAACAGCAGTCTAGTGTGGACAAGAGGGAGCAGCTCTGTCAGTTGAAAGCTATTTAACTGGAGCGTGGGGGAAATGAATGCTTTGAGTTGCCTCTCAGTCATACAGACACAGGAGCTGTGTGTTAGAAATGCCCCTGGTTTAAATCTACACACTTAAAGATGGTACAGAATTCTACAAATTGAAATGTACATGAAAATATAGTTTGATATTCTTTGCTCTACTGTTTACATTGCCGATTGCTATAATTTCAAGGAGTTATAAATAAAATGATGCACTTTAGGATGTTTTCTATTTTTTGAAATCTGAACATGAATCGTGCACATGACCAAAAATTGTATTTTTTAAGAAACACGTCTAGTCTGTCCTTTTAAAGTACTTGTTCTCTTTAAAAAGCTATGATATAAATCAAATCATTACCAGTTAACTTTTAAAGCACAGTCTGAGTGTTGTTTTGAAAAACTATAATATAAATTTTTTTAAAAAGCTACATATAGGTGAGAAGTTACTAGATGTTTTAAAATCTGTTGTTTCTGCCAAAAGTAAATTCAAAGATATATTCAGGAATCCCCTTTCAAATTTGTATGAAATTTGTTTCAATAAAAGAAACATCAAGTTATAGAAAAAAAAATGGTGTATGAAGTGTTTTCCTTTGCAATTTCTAACCTACATTCTTTATAGAATGGAACCCAAATGGTGTGGGGGGATCTATGTTTATTCCAGGTCATTTTTGAAGGCATGTTACTCAGCGGTTTCTGGCTCTGCCAGAAATGCCAAGGCGAATCTGTTTCCACAGCAACCATTTCTGCAGCTCAGCATCCCCAGGCCCTGGAGGCCAGTGTAATTGGCTTCACACAGACCGAATGCTCTGGGTTGGAGTTGTTCCTCCACTCTCTTGGGAACATGTGTGTTTATTAGCACATGCCAACAAAATAAATGTCAAGGGTTATTTAATAACAATGATAAGTAAAGGTAAAGCATGAGTAAACTTGGTTATATGATCATAAGAATTAGAGTTGGCAAAGCCTTATAATTTTACTAAGCACTTGCTTTTATAATGTTCAGTCTTGAGTAAACTTTGAAATAGGTGTTTATATTTGGCATGGTATATCATTACTGTATTTCATCTTGGAATCATATTGTTTGGACTTCACTTTATAATTCACTTTCTAAGACAGGGCGGTGCAATGTTTAGGGTAAGGTCCAATTTAGACCTTGTTTTAAGACAAGAAGTTTGTCCTTTGTTGCTAGAAGAGAGACAAGACAACCTCCTCAATCCCCCAACTCAGGAAAGACCAAAACATGTTTCAAACCGGATGACTGATTTTTTAAAATTACTAGTTAATGTGCATTGTGAGCCATTATATAAGATTTCTTCCCCGTGGTTTGAAGTCAGAGATTATTATTTATTGCTAAGAGCAGAGACCAGCTGATGGCTCTGCAGCTCTGGGTCTGCTTTGTCTCCGGGTTGGGGGGGGCGGCTAGCAGGGTGTCTGCTCCCAGATGTGACATTTCTAACCAGGACAAATGCCTCTGGGCTGTGCCTGTATCATAAATACAGCATTAAGATGTCCCCAGGCCAGCAGTCTTGGAGCCCCTAAGGACTGAGCATTTGTGAATGTGGCTGAGCTCGGAATTCCTTCTAAGGTGAACACTTGGATATATATTATCAGCATAAGGGAACAGTCATGATGCCAATTAAGTTGGTTCTGTCTGGAGGCTGCCTAGCTTTCAGGAAACAGAACTGGGCCCAGGAGCCAAAATTGCAACCGATTTATAAGGAAAATCATATTTTAAAATTTGTTGTTTTAAAGATATTTAAAATGTAATGAAGATGCCCTTCTCCTGCTTTTGGTGGTATACAGTTGTACACCATAAACTGTTAACTGCTGCGTGAAAAGATGGTTGTTATCTAAATTGTTTTGCCTTCAGAAGGATTCTTCTGACACACAGCTTCCTGGATTCTTTTTTCCTAAGTGGGAAAAGGTTTCAGTGCCAAGATCAGTGCCTCTGTGATGTTCTTTTTCAGTATCCACTTGTTTAAAGCAACAGAGGGGGACAAACCTGCACCCTACATGAAGTGCCATTCCCCCAATGCCCATGTGGTAGGTGGAAACCACATTGTGATTTCCTTTCACTCCGCCCCCCACACACACTTGATCCTCAAAATGTAAACGACTGACTAAACATACTTTCAAATGTTTCTCTATTCACACTGGTACTATTACAGGCGGTGGCACACTCCAAGCAGGAGGAAGACTTGCATGTCTGACACTGCACCATGGCACAGCCACTTCCTCAGGCAGGTTGTACTCCTGTACTCCTCTACCATGATCCCTTACAGCAGATGCACATACATAGACTAAGACCAAAAATACAGATAAGCACAAGTGTGTGTGCGAAAGGAAGTCTATGTACATTCACAATTCCTATCTTTAGCAAGTTGCAGTGATTTCTCTATGGAATCTCATTTGGCCTGGAATGGGATGGGCCCAGTCATGTATAACTCAAGAAAATGGGTGGCAGATCGAAGTCTCCATCTAAAAGCACCTATACTGTGAAAATCACCAGGAATCGATACGTTTTAGCTAAGCAATATGGGCCCACTGTAATGTTTACATAAAATGTAAGCAGAGACCACTTGAAATGACCAATGTCCTTTTTTAAAACTGTAAGTGTAATTTTAAGAATTAGTATATTTTTGTACATGAATATTTTGTATGATCCTAAAAATATAAAATATTTTTAACTGTACAAGCTCTGAAATTTAGGACAGTGTCAGGACTATATGATTGAACTGCCTGTGGCCCGGCCTTTCCTTGAGGAATCCTGCACTGGCTCCCAGAGGCCCGAAAAAGCCTCCTGAGGATTATGTTTTGGTTCTGTCTCCAGGGAGGGAGGGCACTGGAAGGTGAAGCAAACTGGGTACACATTAGGCATGTCCATGTCATGGCCAGAAAAATAGGCTGTGCTCTATGCTCAGCAGCCTTTCATTTATAAAAGGGGTGGGGAGGGCTGGAGGGGTGCAGAAACAAAGGCATTAAAGCAAAATTTTCAAATACTCAGGCCATTGGAGGTGAATGACATTAGGCATTTACTATTCTGGAACAAGGCCACCAGACACCTGAGTGCAGAGTGCCCCATGTTAGGTGAAGGGAGCACCTTACCCTCTGAGTTGCTCATCACAGGCCAGGCCCAGTGTGAAGAACCTGTGAGTGCTTGTGCAGCAAGCCTCGAACAGTACCAAGAGGTGGGTGCAGGAGCCCCACCTGACCATGGGAGACAGGCACAGGTGTCCTTCAAACTACAGATGCTAAGCATACTCCCAAGTGTCTTCAAAAAAAAATTAAGGGTTGCAGTAGGAACCTTGTCCTTGTGTTGAAACCAGGACACAGACCAGTCCAGCATCATGGTACAAAGACACAGTAGCATTAACATGCTATTCAATACCTTCCTGCCAAAACTGCAACTCATCTGGAAACGTTTAAGTTTTGTAACACTGGGGTCCAAAGAAAATTCAGCAGAAGTAGCAGGCAGCATTTAGAGACCCTCGATTTTCTTACTTTTTAAAATGCATATGGGGGGATTGAACCCAGGGCCTTTCCACTGAGCCACATCTCCAGCCTTCTAAATTTTTTTTTTAGTTTGATACAGGGTCTCACTAAATGGCTAAGTTGCCAGGCCGAGTTTGAACTTGTGATCCTCTTGCATCAGCCTCTCAAAGACTGCTGGGATTATAGGCGTGCACCACTATACCCAGCTCCTTCAATATTTTGATGTTGCCTCTTTTGAGGAACCAGAAAGTTACAAGCCCAAGTAAAGCTAAATTTTACAGCCTCAAACAAAGCCTAATGGAACACCAAAGTCATCCCACCTACATCATGTTTTTGCTTCTAGTCCTCTAATAATTTGCAAACCAGAATGGGAATTTCAGAACAGGACTTACACACCAGAGGAGGGAGCAGATTGGGGGAAGAGTCGCAGAACTCTCTCAATGGCCTCATTATTACCTATTCTATAAACGGATGCTGAATTTGTAAGACAAAATGTATCAGATTTACCCCTAAGCCAGGTCAGCTCACCAAGGCTGTATATACAGAGTAGAAATTCATATTTAGTAAAAGCCAAAAGTCAAACTTCCCAAATGCATTTTTAGAATCCTGGCTGGCAGGCAGACAAATAGGGCTTGGCAGGAGCTAGAGTTGTTGACAGCTTGCTTCTCACTTTTCCTCTCCAGCAACAAGGCTTGTACCACAAGGGTGACCGCGTCATGCAGCAGCTGCCCAGGGAACACAGCCCAGTGTGAATTGCTGCCAAGAACCAAGTCTCTGAGACCACTCAGTTCCCCATTTTGGCCTATGTGTGTACAAATTATATTACTATGAGTTCTGAAGTTCATAATCTTTTACATGTTTGAATGTAATTTCTGAAAAGATATGCAGAAAACTTTTATGCTTCTGGTTCTGCAGTTTTGAGACCTCTTCCTAAGACATTTTGATACATTGTCAATTGTTACTTTCGAAGAATTTAAAATTGCTGAACAAGATTAAACTCAACATATTTTCCATACACCAATAATGGACTAGGTGAGATAGAAATCAGGAAGACAATTCCATTCACAATAGCTTTAAAAAAAAATACCTGGGGCTCAATCTAACCAAGGAGGTAAAAATGTCCACATTGAAAATTTCAAAACACTGAAGAAAAAAATTGAAGACACAAGAAGATGGAAAAACCTCCAATGTTCATGGGTTACCAGAATTAATGTTAAAATGGCCATATTGCCAAAAGTGATCTTCAGATTCAATGCAATCCCATCAAAATTCCAAAAAATATTCTTCACAGAACTAGGAAAAAAGAATCCTAAAATTTATATAGAAATACAAAAGATCAAGAATACCCAAAGCAATCCTAAGCAGAAAGAGCAAGTCTGGAGGCATCACAATATCCCATTTCAAATTATCCTAAGCCACGGTGAAAAAAAAAAATGGTACTGGCACAAAAATAAACACACAGATCAATGGGATCAAACAGAGGACACAGAAACCCACGCAACTATAGCCACTTGATTCTGGACAAGGGGACCAAAAACATACTCTGGAGAAAATACAGTCTCTTTAACAAATGGTGCTGGGAAAACTGGCTATCTATATATAAGATTGAAACTAGATCCCTGTCTCTCACCCTGGTAAGGATGCGGTGAGGGGTCAAGAAGGAACTCTGTTATACTGCTGTTAGGAATATGTTAGCATCACCACTATAGAAATTGGTGTGGAGCCACCTTAAAAAACAATAGAACTACCATATGGCCAAGCTATACCACTCATTGGTATATACCGGAAGTCAGAATACTATAGGAATACTGGCATACCTGTATTTATTGAGGCACAATAGCCAAGATACAGAACCAGCTTCAGTACCCATCAACAAATAAATGAATAAAGACAGTGAGAATAACACACACACGCTAGAGTGTTATTCAGCCATAAAGAAGAATAGAGTTATGTCATTTGCAGGAAAATGAAAATCATATTTAGCAAAATAAGCCAGACTCAGGGAGAGAAGTACCACGCTTCCCTAATATGTAGAAACTAAAAGTGATGACAAGAAAGTATGAAGGCAACTATTATT